TACATTTTAATATCTGATATGAACAATTGCAGTGTTTTGGCAATAGTAACTGAGGAGTTAGTTTCTGAATAGAGACTTTCTGAATAGAGACAGCATACATAGTGACACATTTGGGAAATGTTGAGAAATATTCTTAGCAAGGGTCACACTGGCTGGAAATATTAAAAGCTGAATTTCACACATCTAGAGAGTTCTCAGACAGTATAATATGGTGTAAATGTTACAATTCACCCTCAAGCACTAGGTGACTTTTAGCCAATTATTATCTCTAAGCCCAACCTACCTTCCAGGTTGGTTGTGGGGGAAAACAGAAGGAAAAAAGTGCTATAAAATATGAATGCAACATGAAATGTTTCAGGGGAGGGAGGGTTATATACCTCTCTCAAATTCCCAGTTGCTCTGATCAATCAGTTAAGAATGGGGGTTACTGAGAGCTGTAATTTAGCAACATTTGGAGAACCAAACTTTCCCATTCCTGATGTTATTTCAAACTCTAGTTAATTCCTATAGTATTAAGCATTTATAGTAATAGAAGCAGAACCATTGAGTTTATAATCAACTATTCAGGAGCATGAAGCTTAAAGCAACAATTCCTTAAACCACATAAACTTACTACATAGAAATTCATTCCTCAAGATTATGCAATGATACCTATTAATTTAAACACTGCAAATATTCTTCTACAAATCTCAAAACTACACCTATGATCTCCAGGGTTGAGGAACCTGCAGTTCTCTGGAGGCTGTTAATTTATGAGTTTCTCTAACCCAGTGGTCCCCAACCCCCGGTCCGCGGACCAATGCCGGGCCGTGGAGTACCTGGCACCAGGCCGCGCAGCAACCGGGGGCCATGATCGCTGCAGCAGCCGGGGGCCATGATCGCTGCAGCGCAAAGGCTCCTGGGCCGTGCGCAAAAGCTCCTGGGCCGTGCGCAAAGGCTCCAGGGAAGAGAGCCCCGCGCAGGTACGCACGTGTGGCCCAAAGCTGTCGTCGCGAACAATGCTCCCCCACCCCTGCGCGCGCTCAGCGGGCCACGGTAAAATTATCAAAGGCTGACTGGTCCGCGGCGATAAAAAGGTTGGGGACCACTGCTCTAACCATTTCCTGTACTGGAAGCTAACTGAAGTCCCAGGTTCTCTTTTTCCTACCTTATCTATTTTTTCATCATTTTAACTGGAGATGCCCAGAAGCAAACCTGGGGCCCTCTGTTTGCAACCTTTCTATGTGATCCAACTGCACATTGGAAATTTTCCCCCAGTGGATAAAGAAAGAAAGAAACTGAGCTGAAGAAGACCTGTCATAGATAGATATGCCATGTCTGGAAATTGAGAAACCATTTGGTACATTCATCCAGAGAAAGAGGGGGTTTAAGGTCATCATATCATACATTTAGTAATCCTGAACACACAACAGAAGAATATTGATCCAGAAACGATTTATCTCAGAAGTTGTCACTCTAAATAGCTTATGAGCATTTAAGCTTCACATCAAACTCCACGTATATTAACAAACTTCTTTCCTTTCATTATTAGCTATCTCTTATTTCTATTGCTGTTTCTCCACAGAACTACCCAATCGGTATAAAAATTTCACCCACAAAGGGTAACACATTTCATAGAACAGGCTCTACTGTTAAATTTAATGCAACAACACCAACACATTTTTATGTTCATACATATTTGGCAGTCATTCTACTCTATTCAGTGAGAAAATATGAACAGTATGATATAAGTACATAATATTTAAAGTCACAGAGATTCTTTCAGATCAATCTTGATGAATAATACTTCGATCTTGATAAAAAAATTAGAATAGAATGTCTGATCCACATGAATTAATAAAACAGGCCATTGGTTCCTCCTTGATCATTTCCTTGTACACTGCCCAGAGTTGCTTTTGGTGAAAATTTGATAAGTAAATGGTTAATTAATTTCCAGCTCAATTGTCCCATTTTAACTTCAGGTACAGAAGCAACCACCAGCAGTAATAAAAACATAACACAGCTACATCCCTTCACTAGCTTCTTTATAACATCAGTGAACTCAGAGGGATTTGGCATACAACAAAAATGTACAGGATTGCAAGGACAAGCAACTTTGTTTGAAGGTCACCTTAATTATAAAACTCCCCAGAATTCAATGACCTGTAAGATAAAAAAGCCAATATAGCTAGTAAAAATCCTTCCAGAAGGAAGCAAGCTGTTTCAGAGCAGCCACCCAATCACCCCTCAAAGCAAAAAGATGTGCAGGGAATTTGGGAGCAGGTGTTCAGTTAGAATTTCGGGTATTGCTGGTAAAGAGAAGCCTGGTGGCTTCAGCCAACCTTCCCCCAACTTGGCCCCCTTCAAAAACCCTGGATACCGTCCCAGACCAGCATGAAACAGGCTGCTGGTGTGCAAGAGAAAGAGAGAGAAGGGAAGGGGGAGATGGTTGCACTCCACCTCCCAACATCGATGTGCAACAGCAGGGCCCCAGGGTACCATGGTTGGGGAGAATGGGACTTGTAGTCCAGCCCATTCGAAGGTGACAGGTCCAAGAAAACGGCTACGCCCCCCCTCCCCCCACTTTTCGGCTCCTACGCACCGAAGTCGAGGAATTGCTTCATGGAGAGCGGCGATGGAGAGAATTTGCTGAAGTGCTCGATATACTTGGGCGCCCCGGCGAGCGCCGACTGGCCCTTCATCAGGCATCGCAAAAGACGCATCGCGGCTCCGACAGGCCCCGGCAAACCACTTGCGGGAGAAAGATAGCGGCGCCTATTCGGAAGCCAACAGGCAGCACCTCTGCTTCTCCCGAGCCTCTCCAGCAGGCAGCCCACCGACTTCTGAAAGAGCTGCTAGACCTAGACCCCGGGACGACCCGCCCCTCCGACAGCTCTCGGCCAACCAGCTGCAGAGACCTCGCATTCCGACAGCTGCAGTCCAATCGCGGCAGAAAAACAAGACATTTTCAGCCAATAGGAAGAGAATACCACCACGTGGCAGGGAGAGGGGGGGGTTGCAAGAGTCTCGGGGATTTTGGGATGTGACCGTTTAACTTCTCGGTTCCCGCAGCTGGGCGATCTAATGACTTTAAACGGCATCTTAGCCTTGGTTTGGTTTGGCTTTGAAGTCGAACACTCTTCAAACCACCCCAGGCATGTTTTTTTTTTGAAATATACTCTATAAATCCAATTCTTTCTTTGAGATGGTACAAAAATCTTCCTATTGTGGAACACGCAGAGACGTATTTTAAAAAGTGGAGTCCTTTTAACAGCCCAGAATCTGTTACACCACAAAATCAAAAGGCAAGTTTTGTAGTATTTAGAGTTCTTCCTTAAAAAAAGAGGGTAAACAGAGGTAAAGGGGGGAAAAAAACAGAAGAAAGGAAGATACTGTATAATCCAGATGTTATATTTTCAGAATTGGCAAATCGATTTAGTTTATTTTTTCCTAGATGCTTTCTGAAACTATTAAGTTTAAATTGTTGGTTTTAAATGCCTGGAATCTCTTTCTACATTCAGTTTTTAAGAATGAAGGTATCCCATAAATTACTACAAATAGTCCTCAACTTACAACCAATCATCTAGTGACCATTGGAAGTTGCAATGGTACTGAAAAAGTGACTTATGACCATTTTTCACACTTGTGTGATGGTTCTGAATCATGTGATCAACGTTTGTGACCTGTAAAGTCAATGGAGAAGCCAGATTCACTTTACAACTGTGCTACTAACTTAGTAACTGCTGTGATTCACTTAATAACTGTGGCAAGAAAGGTAAGGTGGGGCAAAACTCAACAACTATCTTGCTTAGCAACGAAAAAAATGGGCTCAATTTGGGCTTTTTAAAATCGTTCATTTGACAACAAATACCTGAATAGCAAACTGAATAAGCAGGAACATAGATCCCATTTTTCTTATTGTGCTGAAGCAGGCTGGCTGTGAGTGTGCACACACATCTACACATTTTAATAGATTCTCAACACAATTGGCACTGAACATAAATTCCTGGGTTAATTAGTGTTGAGAACTTGTTTAAAAAGAACAGATTGAAATGAAAAAAAAATCATTCATATTTTAGTAATCTAATCCTGATGGAGTAATATTACTATATTACTATATTACTTCAGATCATGTTTTTAAAAGTATGCCAAGATTAAAAATAGCTGCATTTTTTAATATATTTTTTAAAGAACGGTTGTTTTGGAGGCTTTTCTCCCGTTTGACCAATCCCTCCTCCCTTTTATGCATTGTTTTTGTTTCCAGTGGCCCAAATAAAATAACCCATTTCTTCATTTAGTTTTCTAGTTGTATCAAGCTTTTCCAGTCTCAACATCCAAAATGATAGTGGCAACTGTCTCTGTTCTTCATCCTTATTTTGGAAGTATGCCTTCTCACGGCACAATATGATTCTATTGGTATGGTTGAGAGAAGAATTCAGAAAGTTAAGAGTTGAGATGATTTATTTAACTATTGGATTATAACCCATCTAAACAAAGTAGTGACTTTCTGTTAACATCATTTAACTCAGGAATAGAAAGAAATACAATCTTCTTCAGTGGCTTTAGAATTCATGTAAAGTTCAGTTACTGATACAATACTAATTGTGCTGGAATAGGAGGCAGGAGGAAGAGTAGCAGCTCTGCCTCCAGTATAACTGTTGTATTGTCATGAAGGAATAGTGGGGTGTTGATCATGTAGCAGCTATCTAGAATATGATCAATCAAGCACATCTTTTTCTGAGATCATGGCAGCTTTGGAAGTCACACTGCTGCTTCAAAATGCTCCCTACAAGACTACATGCATATCCATGTGCTCTCTCAATCACCTTTTGCCCTTCAAAATCCAGATTTCTTATAGCACTATGAGATGCTGAAATGAATCCAACAGATTGTTGATTCATTTTCCAGCAGGCTTCATTCTTGATATTGCTGGATAGCAACAAATATCCAATGCTGAGGTCTGGGGAAATTAATGTAGTGTACTTTAAAAAGGAGAAAGAAAATACAAATCACAAGTTACAAATCATAATATTTTTTATTCATAAAATAGACACTCAAGCTTATTTACAATCAAGGCACAATGATTCAAGACCTCCAGTACCATAAACAATGGGAAAATCCAGTAAACATCAAATATATATATAGATTCATTTATTTATATATGAATGTATTTATGTATTTACATCACTAAAGACATTCTTTGTAATTTAAAACATGCCTGGGAGATGGGAAGGAATGGGCAAATAAAATATGACTATTGTCAAGGATGGATACTCAGTGAATGAAATCAAATTTTCTTGACAATGACATGTGGAATAGAATCCAAAGAAGGTCAATCCCTTTTAAGGGAGTTTTCACACATCAAAATAAGCCCCAATTTTGGTAGTTTAGGTTCAATTTTGTTTAGTGCAGAGGTCAGCAACCATCCTTGGCTCATGGAAATAAGATAAATTAAGGCAGTTTTCTAGCCCATTGCTTTCCAAATGCAATAGACTACAAGTACCATAATCCCATGCTGTTTGGGAATACTGGGAGTTGCAGTCCAACACATCAAACACAAGAGTCTTTGCTTAGAGCCTAGATTAAAAAAACAAGTCTGAAATGTTGGCCAGCATAATAGATAATTAGATGTGAGCTAAAAGCAAGAATTTAAGGTACCACAATTATTTTGTGCTTCTTTTTGCTGTTTTCCAAAGATATTTTCATTTCTCTGAGTTGGCAAGTCCAATATTGTTTCTTATTAAACTGAATTGCTGGATACATCCCAAGTCAGAAAACCGAAGCATTTTTTGGCAAGATTAACTCTGCAGAAGTTGATCCGCATAAATCCGTAGGTTTCTTATGTGAAGCAAAAGACATTAATTTCTCCTCTTGATTCAACATGGTAGCCAGGGAACAGGTAGTGTGTAGGTGAACCTTGTTCTCTCTTAGTTGCCCAGCTAGCTTCAGCCATTCTTATCTCACTACCCATTCCACTGGGCTTCTCTAAAAGTTGTTTAATATTGAAAAGGAGTTGCCTACTTTTAAGACTCTATTGTTCACTTTGCTCTTTGACCCAGTTCAGTTATGAAGGAAGCCATGGCTTAGACTTTCTTTATAATTAAATCACACTTCACCCAGGAATGCACAACTTTAGTAAGCTGTAGCTGAAAATTGTAGAATCCTTTTAGCAAAAGAACAGCTGCCAACACCTGACCCACCTGGATATCATTTTAAAATTGCTCTTTAAAACAAAATCTGTCCTATCGTCACTGACATAGCACTGTTGTCAAATACTGTGAAAAGCATGAAGATCCTACCAAGGCTCACTAATGCAGGAAGGAGCCCACTAAAGGATGCTATCTAGGGCCTCCTGTAGCCAGGAGCTAATCCTGCAATGAACTACTCCCTGGCATGTCTCAAACCCAGCCAGTGATCAAAGTCATTAAAACTAATGTTTAAGTTAAAAAAATAAAATGCTACACTCCTCATTTCAAGCTTTCTTAGAGTTTCTTAAAAATAAGATAATAGTACTATTACTAGTGAAACCACCCTTCCTGCCAGAGAATTAAAAATAGGACTAAATTATAGCCAGTAATCCTTAGTCCAGTACAAGTTCCAGTGCTGAAATATCCAGTACTTATTCTATAGGAAGGGTGGAAACTGATACTGGCCCAGAACTAAACAGGCTTCATCCACACCATTAGATTCAAGAAGGTTTTTGATAAAACCTTATTTCTAGGGGAGACGGCAATACTGCCTTGGCTAGTTAGGATCTAAAAATAGAGGTTAGACCTGGGAAAATTGGTTCAAGATCCTATGGAAGCAATTGCAGACCCTATATATCCTGCAAGTTTTCCATGCCGGAGTTGGGAAATATGGCAATTGCAGTTATAGAAGGCAAAATTCATTCAACCTCCCCTCTAAATGAAGTATGGCAGAGTATGATTAGAGTTGTAGTCCAATATATCTGATTGGTGCCAGGTGATGGAAGGCTGAGGGGAAAAATGAGGCAAGCATTAACAAGGACCAAAAGAGAGCATGGAGGCATCTACTACAACTGTCAGCAAATGAAAGTGAGCAAATAAAAGTACTTTTTTAATGTACACTTGCATTAGAAAAATATAATACTTGTGAAAACTGTCTGTAACCTCATACTAAGAAAGAATCTCCCAAAATGCCATAACCAGCTGCTCTTGGGTAACGACAGGACATTCAAAGAGAACTGTCCTAGTGTAAGCCTCTGACAAGGACACACACAGAGACACACATTGGTTTGTGGATACTGGAAGAGGGTTTGTGAAAACAGAAGGGCCTTCTGCAATAAAGCATCTCATAAACATATTAAGATGATTTTGTGAGATTATCATATTGAGTAAATATATAGGCACATCTTAGGAGGAATTCTAACACTACAATAAAGTATCTGCTGTGCATGGAGAGGATTTTTTTAATCCTGAGAATCTTTGGACATTGGACAGACCTGCCCTGGAAAGCTGTTGCCAATCCTGAAGACTCTGCTAAGCTATATCATCCAAAGTTCCTTTATATTAGGACAGTATACATGTGTGAATTTGAGAGAGAAGCTGCGTGTTGGCTTAATCAAGGTGCATCTTTTGGAAGCCCAGGGATTCACCTGAAGGCAGTTTGACACATAAGATTAGATTTTATAAGCTGCTAAAATGGAAGGTTGTGTAGGAATCACACAGACGTTGCTCTGAGCTCATGAGAAGGATAGTCGAGAGTGGGGTTATATGATAAACAGTAATTTCATTAGATCACAACTTTTCTATGTAGGTGATCAAGCCAAGTGCTTATGCACTGTTGCCCTTTTAGTGCAAAATGAAGCTGATTTTCAAATCTGCCCTTCATTCTGCTTCATGGAACTATTTCCAAGAATGCTGGTAGTGGTGTTGGAGTGTTGTGGGCTGTGGGTGGGTGGGAGAACCCAACAGTGCAAATGAAAAAGCTGTATCTTTGTGCCTCAAATTTTATAAATGCCTACCATATCCACCTTGCAAGAATAGTTTTTTCTCCAATATCACAGTGTCTGGAGAAAGGTTTGGGTTGTAACTGACCAAGGACATATAACTTACTATAAATAAGAGTTCCTTGGTTGGTCCAGCAATATTTACAAAGGAAAGCTAAACAGCCTGGGAGTGAGCACAGGAGAGGAGGAAACTGAGGCAGATGTCAGTAGTATCTTCCCGTTTCCTGCCAGTTTGTCACCCATCGCTTCTTGTGCTTTGGAGGCAAGAAACCGCCAGCTGGCTGGTAGCGCTCCTCCTGCCGGATGCGAATGGCATGGTATTTGGGCATGATGCGGTAGTAGCGGGTTGGCTTGAAAAAGTTGCACTGTGGATGGAAAGAAAGCGGGAGGGGGAAGGATAAATACATTTAGTAGCAGAAATCAACAGTGAGACAGAAACCTCAGCTGAAAACCTGAGAGAGAAAATTTCAGAGACAGGACAGGACAAAAGAACAGCAAGAGATATTTTCATCCATGAGAGAAAAAGAACAAGCTGAGCCAATACATTTGACCATTTTATCTGGGACAGGCTGATTTGGAAACTGAAAAAAACTGATTTTTGGCATAGCTATTTTGTGTAAACCAAATAGACAAAATAATGATGTGGTTACTTACCTTTTCTGTAGATCTTCTACAGAAGCCTCTGCTCTGTCCCCTGGACTCCCTATATATAGTACAGAGGCCATGTGGTGTCATCCAGGGAGTGGATGCAATCTCAGATCAGTCACAATTCTCTACTCTACAATAAAACAGCCAAACTTTTGGGAGAATTGCCAAGTCTTGAATGACTTTCTAAATATTATCATAGTGAGAACTGTACATGAAGTGTACCTATAATGTCTAATCTCACCAGTTGATCAGAGACAATCTGAGATAAGTGTCTCCCAAAGTGACTTCAGCCCTTATAAAGAGTTTTATAGGTCATCACTAAAATGTTATCTTCCACCTGGAAGCCAAATGATAACTAGTGTAGGTTTCAAAGCAATAGCATCACATGGGCTCAATGTGATATGCCCATCACTCCTGCAGTATTGCATTCTGAACCAGTTGTAGTTTTTGAATGGTCTTCCAATGGTCTTGAATGGTCTTCCAATGGTCTTCCAATTAGGACATGAGCAATTGCCTGATAGGCCTTCATATCCACAAACAGTCTCAGCAGGATTGAGTTTCTTCCTCTCCATCTATAGACCTGTACAACCCCCTGACTGGGACAGAACCTCAAAAGTATCTCTTGGTCCAGTGAAATTAAAATAAATAATTGGATATTATTGGTGAATAGATAAAATCTGATACTGAGCGAATGTATAACCTCGTCCAGTGGCTTTATGGAGAAGTGTAAGAAAAGGGGTATGAATACAGTACCAAGACACCACACAAATAAGAGGTTGCAGTCCCCTCCCCATCAACACAAACTGAAACAAACAATGAAGAAAGGAGGAGGAGGATGGGAGGGGCCGAAGTCACGATGAAATGACGTGCAATCTCAATGCTATGTGATCGCAGTCAACACTTTTATCACTGGGGGGGGGTGTCCCAATGGACCTAAACCATTCCGAAGAGATGGTAAATAGAAAGATTACGTCTTGCTGATCTCAGGGATATTGCAAAATCCCCCCAAAAAGCAAGAGAAGATCTTGAAGCCGGTGATAAAAAATCCAGCCACAGGCTGACAAGGTCGGGGCGGCTCCAAAAAGGAACGATGTGGAAAAAGAAAGGGTTTCCAGCTGGTGAGGAATTTTTATTGTTCTAAAAAGAAGGGACTGCCTATAAAACTTTAAAACCAATTTAAATCAAAGAATAGAAGAACTTAGCGGTGAATTTGAATTTTGGAATGGTCTTGGACAGTGGTTATCTTACTTTCTAAATGTTATTTACATGGATTGAATCTAAGCAAACCTTTTTCAAATGGATGGATTAAGTTTTCTTCTAACCTTTCTTTGTGACTATCTGTAAGCTACAGATTAATTTTTTCCTCTTTTATTGTTGTATTTTTAAAAATGCATTTAAAGATTGGATTTCTTTGTCTATATATATATATATTTAAAGTCACAACCTATGGTATGCCCAAATATGGGGGGAAGTTCACTGCTTCCATTCTCTGTCCATCGGCTCGTCATAAGAGACTATCCAGACAGAAACCCAATATTTTTACTGTTGCCTTTGTTACATTTGGTTGTATTTATTTATTTATCAGCACAAATACAACACACACACACACACACACACACCACCAATCAGAGTTTTTGTGTATTGAAAGACGGAACATTCTTTTTTTTCTCACACAGATTGCTTTGATTTCGGCATTGTAAGGTTTTACTGCTTGGCTGTTTGGTTACAGTCTGATAAGAGTCCACAGTTGTCCCTTTGAAGTTTGTTTTTGTTCAAAGAGAAAACAGCGGTCTTTGTGAACATATGCTTTAATCTTGTTGACCTTCTAAGCAAAAACAGCTGTGTATGAATATGGCATCTTCAGACAGCGTAGAGGCTTTGAATTTGCAAGGAATATTTTCAGAACTGCAAAAATTATTAAATACAGGGGAAAAAATTGAGAGAAAATTGGAATACTTGGAGCATTTAACAATAAAATATGATGAAAAAACTGAGGATGTTTTTCAAATGCAAAATAAGGGGACTGAAACTCCAAAAATCGAAATGGAAGATGAATATAAAGAGATTAAACTTGTTGATATTTATGGCAATTGGTTTATTTCTGAAAAAAGAAAGAATGGAATATTGAAAGAGGAATTAAATCGAGAGGAAATTTATTTCAAAGGGCAAGATATAGAAGAAGAAAAAATTAAAAGAATCTATGGACTATGAAATCCTATCTGCAAAATATTTGATAACACTGCTGACAATCAAAGACAAGCTGAACAAGGAAACAGAAAGAGGGCATCAAGAGTACATGAGAGATCTTACAAACAAGGAATTGCTAAGAGGAGTCCATACAGATTTGATTAAGAGGATGTTTGGAGGACTGGTTCCACAAATGGCAGAAGATATGAGATTGTTTTGTTACTGGAAAGATACAGGTTGATAGATGGAAGAATATAATTTAAAACTAGCTAAACCTAGTTAAACTTAGTGACAATAGGTACAGTTAAATAAAAAATTGATAATGATAGTAATGTATACAATGTGTAGTGTTATGATAAGCAATAATTGGATATGAATATGGAATTATACCCGTGAAGGGAAGGCTAGAAATCCTTTTGGATTATATATAAAGGTTAATAACAACAACAACAACAACAACAACAACAACAACAAAATTAGACACAGTTAAGTTTTGATTATTAGGGGGAACATGTTATGAGATAGGATATAGTCAAATAAAGAAAGGATTATGATAATAATCTCTATATATGTATAATATAAGGAAAATTCAATTTGCTCTGTTCCTATTACAAACCTCTGCTAGTTGTGATGCTGAAATAGCAACAGGGAAGATGTTTGTACTTCAGTGCTAGGTCACAATAGCTCTAAATACAAGTGCAGTATAGAGGGCCCAGGTACTGGAAGCCAAGTTTTAATCTTAGCACAGTTCATTTTAGAAATTATTGCCTGGCTGGAAACTATTTTTTCAATGAATGTTGAACTTGATAGATAAGGGTGGTGGATAGGCATTCCTGATGAATGTCTGAGGCATCTTTCCTTTAAAAATATTCAAAATAATTGTGTACAAGGCACAGACTTTTAAGGATGATCCCAATCACTACATTAAAATTAAGCTCTGAATACCTCAGTCAACTCACAGATACTATTCTGCCAGGTTCTTCAGGTTTGCAACTAAACTTTCCACTTTGTGTTCCATTTGGAAGATTCAGCACGTCCACAGAAACCCTTTCTTTGCAATCCTTTCTGTATCTTCTATCATCCACATTCTCAGCAACCATTTAAGATAGAAACCTCATTTTGTGGGAGATGTTTCTTCTCAGAAATTTCTTCCTGGTGACTCTCACAAGAAGTATGCTGAAGCAAGATCAAATTAAATGATTCAAGTATCTGGACTTTCTGTATCTTATACCTTGATACTGGCAATACAGTGAAAATGCCCAATGTATCATGAGCTACCATGGAAATGCAAATATTTTTCTGTTGAAGGTTAAAGTCCCATGGGAATAAATAGAAGACAAGATTGAAATCTAAATATTAAAAAAATATGGACCATTATTTTGCAGTATTATTTCTCCTGTATTTCTTCCCTCTTTTTTCCACTTGACTGAAACTTTGTCCATCTTTGGTGGGTTTTCTAGTATGCGCCAGTGCATTTCAACAGGGTTGGCCACCTTACCAAGTATTACTTTCTTGCATTGGCTTAGCCATCCCAACAATGGTCACTTGCATTGGCCCAGGAAGTGAAAAGAAGCAGAGTCAAAAGAAAAAAAGAAAAGATACATGTCATGATTTAAAGTGCCATCTTGAAAGCCACCCTCAAAACACTTGGTAATTCCTAGAAAAAGAAGTTTGAATTAGTAATGCAAACAGGTAAAAAGAGAAGCTGCTCTAAATCTAGTGCAAAGTGTCAAATATGTTGAGAGGAATCTGCTTTGAGAATAATTGAAGACAAAGATGCGGTATAGCTGCTAGGTAGAATAGACAGGTTGAGTTTTAGAATAGGGTGTCTGAACAGAAAAAGCTTCTAATCAAGAGATGGGAAAGCATCAGGGTCACATCACCTAAACCCAGATTCTTCGATTTAGCATTCTTAAGTATGTCAACCTGAGATGAGCAAGCACAAAACACTTTTTTGTTGGCCAATGAAAGGCTTCTAGTACTTGTGTCCAAATCTCAGAGGTTGCTATTTCATACAAATAGATTTTTTAAAATCTAAATCCAACTCTAAAGTCTGAATACTCATACCATCTTACTAGATTAGAGCCAAATCTCCAGATCAGGTTTTACAATAGCTGTATTTGCACATACTTAGCTAGACTAAGGACAGGACCAGCATACTTGGCAGTTCAGGTAAATCGATAAAGCACATTAGTGGTAGAGTTAGAATGGATTGGTTTTAAGTCAGATCAGATTTCAGACTGTTTGGGGTTATTCTGACATTCCCTAAACAGCCATATAGTGGAACATGGTAAAATGGATTGATAGAGTGTTAATTATCTCTTTCTGTTCTCAGTACTAAGATGAGTGACCCACCAAAGTGTTGCTGTACGCCCCATTTCTTCTATTACTCATTTTCCAGTTGTGGGAGGGTAGGAGTAAATAGAGAGGGAAATGTGCTTGAGTAAGGCCCTCTTTATCCTGTCTATTGTGGGCCTGAACACAATCAAACTACAGTGGGGCTTTCACCCACAAATTGGACAAAAAATACCAAGAAATGGCAGCTCTCAACTCTAGCCCTGGCCAGACTTCCCATGCACATGGATGCTGCCAATGGGATAAGGAATTATTGATTCTGCTCCTTAGAGTGCTTACTCAGGAGTAGGGGCAGATCTTTCCAAAGTGACCGTGTAAATACAGTCAACAGCAAGAGTGACTAAAATGTCAATGACTGAATTACAAATATAGGGTTTCAGATTTTGGCATTAAGCTAGCACATAGTTTGAACATATTATGTAAAGTTCTTCATCTCTTCAGGGTTTCTGTAATATAATAAAGGCAACTGATAATTTTTCAACATAATAATAACCAAGTTCTTTGTATCCAAATATTTTGTATCATCTTTGCAAAAAAACCAACCCAAGTTGGGTTTTTTTGCAAAGATGCACTACTAATGCACTACCTCCTTTTTTTTAAGTAGCAAAGGATGGACTACTTCCCTGCTAGAACCATTCCTAGTCAATGCATATACCGTATTTTTCAGAGTATACACTGAATACAGCATTATTTGCCTCCCGAAACCCTGCCCCTTCACCAAAATGGCTGTGCATCACCTTTAGGAGGCTTTAAGAATGTTCCTAGAGGCTGGGAAGGACAGAAATGAGCAAAAACACACCGTTTTTTGCTCAATTTTGCCCTCCCCAGCCCCTAGGAGTACTCTATAAGCCTCCTAATAGCTATCCATGCCCCCCATATTTTACAAAAACCAGGCCCTTTTTCATGAAAATGGATCATTTTTTTGCTAGTTTTGCCCCCCCCCTCCCCCGGAACACTCAACAAGCCTTCTAAGGGCTATTCATGCCTTTTTAAAGAAACAATTTTTGTGAAAAACGGGTCGTTTTGGGGAGGTTTGCAGAATGCAAAAAACTTTTTTTTAAATTTGCCTCTTTAAAACCTTGGTGCATCTTATACTCCAAAAAATACGGTAATCCTGAATGAGATGAACCATCCACCAAAATAAGGCAATTACCTGTGGCCAGCTGTACCAATCCTCTACATTCTCTAATTCAACACTAACTACCAATCTAGAAGCAAGAATGAAGAAGTGCAGGTAAAGTTTCAAAAGTGCAGGGACACAAGGAATTAAAGGAAGATCTTGTCCCACCCTTCCAACCACCCCACAATAATTTACCAAGATACAGGGTAAAGGGGTGGGCACTGTCCCCCCCCCTGAGACAGGAACTAGTAGCTGTCGGTCAGCCGCTTAGTTTCAGAAGGCTGGATCTTCATCATGGCTTTCTGTCCTTTGGCTTCATATAAGGCTCGTGTGCTTGCCCTCCGGAAGAAGCCACACTATGAGGAAGCAGGGGGCAAAGGTCAGGGTTGATGGGGAGTAAGAAATATAAAACACAACTCAAGTATCCAGCCTATGGTCCAATAATGATTAACTTCAGTGTGTGTGACGGAAAAGGCTTGTTTCATTGTTTTACTCCAGGCACTAGTTTGAAGGTCAGGTAAAATGAATTCCTAAAAGTAAAAACCTTCTATTGTAGTTTTGACCTATCTGAGATTTTCATGAGGCTACTGTCCCATTGCAACAGCCTTAAAAATAATTAATAGAAAATAAATTAGCAATCTCAGACATGCCCCAGCAAACAAATGGCCTGTTACTCTTAAGTATTTGTCAAAGTGATTCATACAAGGGAGGAAATGCTGTTGACCTTGCTGAAATATAGCAGTGATGAAACTGGCATGCTTTGGCATTTGGGGCTTCTTCTCGGCTCTCTCCAGCACTAGCAGCAGCTCACCAGAAAAGCCAGAGGGAAATCTGTAAATGCTTGCTCATTAGAAGTGGAGGACACTTGGCCTCCTGAATAAATTTTGAAAGAGTATCTTGCTCAAAGCAGTGTCCAAGAACATACTCCTAACCCTAATAGTCAGTTACGATGGTTGCAATTCAGAGATAAACTTTCCTTGGCCAAACCTATGGAGCTAAGCAAGGAATAAGCAACCAGATGCCTTGGTATGTTCTGGATTTAAATTCTCATATTCTAATGATATGGTAAAGGACTGTAAGAACTCTAATCTGGAAATCACCAGGTTGCCTATTGCAGGAATACATATTGGAAATGTAGCCCTGTCACAATCATCTCAGAGCTTCCAAATATTTAAGACTTTCTAGTCTGATAATAAGGGAAAGTGGCTAAGATGCTAAGCTTGTCGATTAGAAGGTCGGCAGTTTAGCAGTTCAAATCCCTAATGTCACGTAACAGAGTGAGCTCTCGTTACTTGTCCCAACTTCTGCCAATCTAGCAGTTTGAAAGCATGTAAAAAATGCAACTAGAAAAATAGGGGCCACTTTGGTGGGAAGGTAACAGTGCTCCATACGCCTTGGCATTGAGTCATGCTAGCCACATGACCACGGAGACATCTTTGGGCAGTGCTGGCTCTTTGGCTTAAAAACAGAGTTGAACTCCGCCCCCTAGAGCCAGAAATTACTAGCACGCATGTGCAGGAGAATCTTTATCTTTACTCTGATAGTGGCTTCCAGAAATAGGGAACCAGTAGAGATTTTCATAAGGCTTTAGTAATGTACACTATGCAGCCTCCTCCACTAGTCCCTCAGAAGTGCAATAATGTGCCTAAAAAATCACAATGAGTCACTGGACAGAGAAGGATAACTGCAGTGCACTGTCATTGCTGTGTTATCCTAAGGCATCAACACCTATGGACTTCCAAGCATTCCCCCAATTCCTGCACTAATTAGAATCTAAATATAGTTTCTTAGCCATCAAGCCAGATTCCTTGTGGTAAAAAAGAGCAATTCAAATGCCCAGTAGAGACTTCTTTGTTTGTTTGTTTGTTCTTTGGCTGATCTCCAGAGAGATTTGCTTGAGCCACATACCAGAGCTGACTCAGTGCAGTTTACGTCATTCTGGATAAAGTTAGAGAGACAGAATTACTTCCCACCTGTCCATTTGGAACTAGCCTGGCCAGTTTTGCTGCAGCCAAATACGTAAACATTTTGGTACCAGGTGAGACCAATGTATTCGTTATCAAAGAAAACAATTTTGTATGTACTTTCATCATATTGCTTGGATATTCAGACATGCTATGATCAGTTGGACTGTGTGGGTCAATTTGCATCATGTAGGCGTACAGGTCATTAAGAATTGTTTGCAATAGGACAAGCTGAATATATTAATAGATAGTAGAAATACACCGAAGGGAGGAGTAGAGAGATAGAAGAAAGAGGGGTAGAGAGGGTGGGAGAGAGGATTGGAGGGAGAGTGAGAAGGAAGGGAGGGAGTGTATTGGGAGAGAGGTGTGGTAGAGGGGGAGGGGAAGTAGGGTAGGGGGGAATGATGGAGGGAAGAGGGAAAGTTGGAGGGGGGCGAAAGAAAGGTTGTATGGAGGGTCGAAGAGGTACATTGGGTTTCTATTTTGGGGGGTATTATTGACAAGAGGAATGGCGGTGTTTATTGTTTAATGTTATATGGCCCCGGTTCTGCACAGTATATATGTGACTGTACGAAAATGAAAATGGAAAATAAAAAACACATTTGCAACGAGAAAAGAATTGTTTGCAACTATGGACCAGCAACTTCCAAGGGTTTTTATCTAGGTTGAGTTGGGGGATGGGGGGAGGGAAGAAGTAGGACTGTCTGACCATTATTTAAGCTTCGTTTCTTACCTTCCACAGCAATAAGATGATACAGCCCAAGAGCAGTAGTCCTGCAGCAACAGCAACTAGCACCACCCACAGCTCAATCTCTGCCTGCTGCTCTTCACTGAGTTCTGAGTCGATGTCTACAGTAAACTGAAATTAGGGAAAAGAAACAAGAAACAGACAGGGAAAAAAGAGGGGGGGGGAACCCCAAGATAAATGCAAAGTTGGTTTTGAGGAACAGCATGCTCAGAGCTGTTCCAGTAGAGAAAAACAGAGGAGCATCAGTACAAGGCTATTAATACATTCTCACTGATATAATGCAATGCATTGAATGCACATATTTATTCTTAATTATCGTTTGCATTATATATTCTCCTCAAATCCAAAAGCGCTCTCTCCCTTCCTCACTTCTTTCTCATGTTTGTGTGTCTAAATATCTATATCTCTCTATCTTTATCTCTAATTCTCTCTCTAGCCAATTAGGATTCAGTGCCATGGTAAAACCATATATTTTCATGCTGTCTGTCTAGGAATGTGGTAAATGCAAGGAGGGAAGCTGTCTCTTTTTTGTGGTATCCAAATGCCTTAAAGGGTCAGGAATGCTACCCAGGTAGGACTTCTAATTACCTTTATAATTCTACTATCATCTTCCAGACAACGGCTCTCCAAACTTAGCAACTTTAAGACATGTGGACTTCAACTCCCAGAATTCCTCAGCAGCCAGCCTGGCTAGCTGAGAAATTCTGGGAGTTGAAGTCCACAAGTCGTAAAGTTGCCAAGTATGGAGAGCCCAGTTCCAGACCTTCAACTAAATGCACATATGTTGAGATGGAGGATGAGGAACATAACCTTGTTTTCACCCTTTTTGGAAACAAATTAAAAGGCCTTGAATTAATATCTCATTAAGACTGCATCTATACATCCATGTTATTTAGACAGAAGGAAAGTAGGTCAATAAAAAAGATTCCAATGACACTCATACTATTACTGCCCTTATAGAATGTAACACTGGTTATTTTAGCAGAGTGATTGATCTTCTCACAGAGGGGGAAACAATGTCAGCTGCAAAGTTCCCCAAAGTCATCACTAGTTTCAATAGATTGGTGTGTATTCATCAGTTGTTGTAATTGAACAGAGTGGGCTGAGGGCAAAGAGCACAGAGAGAAACAGGGAACTGTGATGTGGGAGAGAGCTGACATGAAGCTGTTCTGGGAACTATGAAGAGAGGTTACGACCATCATGGTCTCTTCTCTCAGTGAGAAAGAAGTATCCGAGGGGTAGTTGTTAAGATTAACAGAACGGTAGGGGGGGAGCGGGGGGCGAAGGGAAGCATATATCTTCCAGAGTTGCATTCCATGTAAAAACGAAAATAATTGCTGTTGTTATTTTATCCAACCTATTTTGTCAACTTAAAAGGCAACCTTCCCTTCACAGGGAAATAGCAATGCTTCTTGGAGCAGACCAGCATAGTTTTTTGACCTGCTTACCATTATACTTACCATTATACTTACCTACCATTACAGATAGGTCCAGATTTAATATCCATTTGTTCAGCCACCATTTAAATGACATTGAACATAGGGAACGTATGGCAGGCCCTCATAGTTATGGCCATCACAATGTCCTTGTGGTCAAGTAATTGTATTTTGGGAACTCAACTCACAATTACAGCATCCCACAGTCAATTGCAACCGTCACTGCCAGCTTCCAACAAGCAAACTCAATGGGCATGTCAACAGGAGATCACAAATGGTACTCACATAACCATGGGACATTGCAATGATGCAGGATTTGCCTAACAGGGCAACCAGGACTATCGGCACAGTAATTTAGCATCATGCCTTATAACCATGGTGAGGACCCCCTGTATTATTTTAAGCATGGAGAAGTTTCTGGTAGTTAATAAGTGTGGACAGAAGTAGAATACATATTTGATCACCACAGGTGAAGTGACCTGGGTTGGGTTCAATTTTTAGTGATGTTCTTCTCTTTCTGGAAGCCAAAACATTAATGGCTATGGAAGCCCAGAGCTCAACAGCTGGATGGGAGGGGTAGTGACGCACTACAACCTGGATCTCCATAGACTGCCGACCTCTGAAGATTCCTTCTCTATGCAACCTAAGTTGCCTGTAAGGGGAATTTTGTTTCTTTTTCCCAGGAAAAATGCGACTTCCAGCCAGAGAATATTGGACCATCTACATACAGCCTGCCTCTGCTGCAGGCTACACATGAGAATGCAGCTCTATTTTGAGTGAAAGTTTTTTTAAATGGTAAATAAGGCATCTTTAAGCCAGATTAAGGGACTGAATGAATGAGCATTAAGTAAATCACACCAAACTAAAGAGTTTCACAAAAGCATGGCACAACAGTTGTTCTCTTTCTAGATGTAGATTATCAGATTATAAGGCTGCAAACCTGAACACAGTTTTGTGTCATACTCTGAGGGAACTTGACAACTAGCTCACCCTAACGAAGAAAAAGAACAAGGTTCAAGGGACTCCCCTTCCAACACTCCAAGGAGGTCTCACTTGTGTGTCAAATGATTTCATCAGTCTACAAAAGTATGGCAGGAGTAGGCCATAGTCAGCCCTGAAAATAAATTCCGGGAGTATTGCCAGAATCTGATAATTATGTAGGAAGGAAGAGAGCAGAGGGTCTTGGGGAAAGGATCTGCCATGCCTCCATCCTCAATCCATGTATTTTCTGTCCATGCGTATCTTCCCTCAAACTACTTTAACTCCCTCTCTGACTGGCCAGCAACTTTTTCAACATCACTGTGATGGGACCCTCTGTATGATTTATTGAAAGTTGATTCAGGGGGCTACAGCATCCCCACTGGGTAGTTTTAGATGAAATGCATCTGTTAACCTACTTTCTGGATGCATATAATATATTGAAGTATAAACTGACCAATCAGGTTGGCTTTGTGTAAAATGAGAAACCACCACCACTAACACACACACACACACACACACACACACACACAAACACAAACACAAACACACACACAGACAGTAACATTGGACAGTGACCTCCTCTAAGAGCTATTGGGCTTTAATAAAAAAAAGCTACTACAGAAGGTAAAAGAAGAGCTAGCCCAAAGCAGTTGAATCATTTCACTAACTGGAAGGGCCAAGGCCTGGAGTGTATAAACAGAAATCAGGAAGATCTTGGTGATTTCTTGGAGTTACTTCATCTTTTTACTCACCAACACTGTTTGATTTTTCATACTGATTGTAGAGGAGTTTGTCCTGAGAAAAAGAGTCACTTGCCCATCTACTTTGACACGATCAAAGTCATTGTAATCCTATAAGAATCAATATGTTAAAAGCAGCTACTTTTGTTTATCTATCCATTTAACTTTGAAATAGGTGTATATAGTAGACAATAAGCCTAATTGATTCATGAAATAAATAAATCCAGCCACCATGGAAAAATAATTCTTGCCCCCTTTGCCACCATTGTTATATCAATTACTTAGTGTTTCTTAGATGCCAAACTATTTTGCAACAGTCCATGATTGCAAAAAAAAGAAAGAAAGAAAGAAAGAAAGAAAGAAAGAAAGAAAGAAAGAAAGAAAGAAAGAAAGAAAGAAAGAAAGAAAGAAAGAAAGAAAGAAAGAAAGAAAGAAAACCATTCCCATCCAACACACCAAGTACAAGCAACGTATTACTGAATGGAGCAGAAGAGTTAAACTGCACTTGCCTCAATGAAAGTGCTGCTCCAAACTCTTGCTCGGGCCTTCACATTTGTAACTGCTCCGATATTCCACAAGGGGCATTCAAACCAGATGCAACGAGAAGTTCCTTTGGAACAACTCTGGAAAAGAAAAAAAAATGGAATGAGACAGGGGGAAAAGAATTAGTGGTGAGTTATTCAAAGGGTGTTTGGTATAATGTACAGTCACAAGGACTTTTCATTTCTTCCTTTTAAATGGCATTTGAACCATGGGCAACCGTCATACTCCCTAAAAACCTCAACTTCGCAATATTAACATTAGGTGGCACCATTTCAAGGTACAAAGCTGGCACTAAAAACATGGAAAAAATATAGATAGGAATTAAAGGTCCATGAAATCTGGTTCAATTCCCCTTTTGAGCCCTTGGAAAAAAGAGCAGAAATTTGTCAACAAAATGACATATTGATGATGTTGCCATTTTTGTGTGAAAGTATTTTTTAAAAGGTTAGGAATGGGAGCCATTATTATTTCCACCCATAAAACATTTCAAAATTAAGATACAGAGACACCGGAAGGCCTCCTGCAGCTTGCTAGATATTCAAGAGAGTTATTGCCCTTAAAGTCCGCATAGTTGTGCATCCCTGCTCTTAAAATTGGGATCAATGCATGGGTTCTTTGAAATATGAATGGCCACAGTTTCAATTATTTTTAAAAAATGATATCTAGATCTAATCCCTACTATACTGCTCCTAAGTAAAAAAAAAATCTGGATGAAAGCAAATATCAGAATTTTGCTAAGAAAAATACAGGGTCGTTTAGTTTATTGTGAACTGCTTGATTTGAAGGTGACTTTATTTTTTTACCTGAAACACACACATAATCTGCCCTCATCCACTACTCTCAAACAGCCATTCAAAAGGGTAGAGGCTACTAATACCTGGTCCTAGTTTAGGATGGTATAAAGCAGAGTATCTCAACCTCCGCAACTTTAAGATATGCAGATGTCAACTCCCACAATTCTGGAGGTTGAAGTCCACACATCTTAAAGTTACCAATGTTGAGAAACTGATGTAGAGCAATATTAGCTGGCCTAGAGAGGCTCATGATGAAGAAATTCTTATTAAGAACAGAAAGGATTTGGAAAGCGAATATATAAAGCATTGTATGTTTCAGTAGGCAAGGAACTTGGATACAATGGAAAGCTTGAACAATGAGAGATTAAGTAAACGAAGGGTTTAAAATTTACACTAAATTACAATTTAAAAAGAAATACAGGTTGATGTATCATTAATATTTAACACTGGATAAGATATAAAAAATGCATGAAGGTACTTCATATGAATGTTGGAAATGCAAATGTAAAGAAGGGACTTTATATCATTGTGGTAGACATGTGATAAAGCAAAGAAATATTGGAGTAGGGTTCATATTCTGATACAGAAGATTTTAAAGTGAATACAAATATAAAATTAGAAACTTTTATTTTGGGTTTAATGGAAAAAGACTTGGGGGGAAATTGTAACTTTGATGTTATATATGTTGATGGCAGCAAGGTTACTTTATGCACAGAAATGGAAGGACACTTTGATCCCCACAATGGACACATTGGCTGCAAAAAATGATGGAGTTAGCAGAGATGACTAAATTGACTGCTTTGATAAAAGAAAAAAAACATAATTCACTTTTGTTTCTACTTGGAAACAGCTTTCTGGACTTTGTGCTTGAAGTGGGGAAAAAATGAAACTTTGATTTTGGATTTTGCCAATTAGATTTGTTGATATAGAAATCGCTAGTTTATATTATTATGTAAAAGTAAAAAAGTTGAGGTTTGATATTGTTATCTTATACTGCACCAAAGGGACTAGGAAGTCAACACCTTTTCTTTCTTTTCACCCACTTTTCTACACTCTTCCCTTCCCTTTCCCCTCTCCTATTTTTTCCTATTATTTGTTTTTGTATTTTTGTATTTTATATTATAAACTAACAAAAAGGACAATTTGGAAAGGCAAAAAAAAGGAAAAGGAGAAGAAGAAGAAGAAGAAGAAGAAGAAGAAGAAGAAGAAGAAGAAGAAGAAGAAGAAGAAGAAGAAGAAAAGAAAAAGAAAAAGAAAAAGAAAAAGAAAAAGAAGAAAAAGAAGAGAACAGAAAGGATGTCTAATGATGGAATGCTTACCAGTGCTGTTTGTGATCTGGCTTTCTTTGAAGACGCTAAGGTGATGGGAATCTCAGACTTCGGTGATTCCTGCAACTCACGCTTTCTCCTTGCTGAGGTAGCGTTGTGATCTGTTTTCTGAAAAGGAAGAAATATTAGCTGTTATTCTGTCTGTGAACATCAAGAACTGTAAGAATACTTGTCTTCATTTTCAGCCCTTTCAAAATATCTTGAGAATGCAACTTCAAGAACGCCCACATGTTGGCACTACTAGCAAGGAATTTGGAGAAATGCAATCCTCACAAAGCACATATTCAAAATAAATCTGGTATCTATACATGAATCAGACAGTGATATTCCTACAATGGGCAGCTAAGGAGTTGATCTCAAAATATACATATTTATATTAAGTGGGGATAGAGCAAAAAGGAGAAGAGGCTGGGAATAGACTCTAGACTCACAGTGAGCTTGAGGGGGTTGATGACGTCTTCAGATGGTTCGCAATACCAGTCTTCCTTCCCTTTTATCAAGATTTCAGTGGGGTAGAGCAGCCACTTTCCATTACTGGCTTCATAAGGCCATTCAAAGCCTAATGTGATTGTTCCCAGGGAAGCTAAAGACTCACTCTTCGTAGTCACCTTAAACAATAACAACAAAGATAACATATTGATAATCCATTTCATTCTTCAGTTTGGAAAACTGTTGGTAACTCTTCATGATTAGGCTGAAAATTTCAGGGATCTTGCATTCAACTTTCCACTGACTTGCTCTTCAGATGAAAACCAGCCGAAGAGGTAGCAATTCTGAATGAAATCTGCTTGAAAGTTAAAATATTTTGTGACTAGCAAAGTGTCAGAAAAGAATGGGGGGTTAAACACTCCTATGCCATAGTAGTCCTTATTTTAAAAAAACACCTGTAGTCTCCTAAATCTAATTTTGTAGATGTTATGTTTAATATCTCTATAATTATAGCCGTAAAAGAAAGAAATAGAAAATAGAAATAGTTCTATAATAAAGCCAAGAATTTTGGCTTTAGTTGGTTACATATATTGGTAATTTGTATAATAGCACGAAGGAACAAGAGTTTAAGGAAAAGCTGCATTAGTTATTCTTTATTCTCACATCTTCAAACAATAATAAAGTAAAGGGTCAGAATTGTAACTGTAAATGAAGGGCAATTTTCATTCACCCACCCAGCCCCATTATCTCTCTCTTTCTCTCTCCACATGTTTTTTTTCAAAAATCTATTCCTGATCCTGTCCTCAAGCTTTCTTTTTCAGTAGCCTGATTTAGGAGAGAAAGTTCTGTCTTGTTGCTATTAGACAATTAGACTTAGCCACTATTTGCTCCTAAGTCCAGATGAGACGGGACAAAGATTGAATGTTGGGCTACCAACTGGAAAAAAAAGTCACTGCCTTGGAAACAAAGGATACAATTTAAGGCCTGACTGAAATAGGCAGTGACCACTCATTGCCTAATATGCTGAACATCATAGGTGGAGCTTATGGCTAAAAAAATAAGTATTAGACAAGTTGAAGTCAGAACCCCTTGTCCAACTTTGTCATGATGGGATTCTAATCAAGAAAATCTATCCAAATGGAGTGCTGACTACAAGTAGTCCTCACTTAACAACAGGTTATTTTGCATCTGTTGAAAGTTACAACAGCTATGAAATAAGTGCATTCATAAAATCCATTCCTTTTCATGGAATGGCAGAAATTGGCAAAAAAAACCCGCCCCAAACCCATGAAAACACCATGAGTCACACTCAGTCCCATGCACCTCTCTGCAGTTATGTGACCATTTGTCAGACAGGTCAGCTTTACGACCAACCATGGTGTTTCCTGGTCACATAACAGTGTGTTTCATGATTTTTTGTCTGTGGATTTTTGGCATTTTTTTGCCAGTTTCGGGAAGAAAATGTCAATTCAAATGAATGGATTTGCTTAATGATCACAGTAGACACTTACCTGGAAGTCGAACTCAATGGGATTGCCTACATCTTCTTCATGCTTCATGGCTGATTCTCCTACGACTTTCCCACTGAAGTATGACTGAAGCCACCGATTGATTCTACCGTGAAGAAATAGGAAAGTTAGAAGAGAGATTTTCACAGGCTTAGGTTGTTTTAACAAGCTAAATGTTGAGGTCATAGTTTCCTGGGAACCTTTTGCGTTATTCAGTAACATAGAGAAGTAAATTTCTTCCCTCCAAACATATTAGGATTGGAATGGTCTTTGACCATTTTAATTGGGAAGTCTAAAAGCTCCAGCTGTGATACATCTGGAGAGCACCATGTTGAGGTAGAGTAGCCTAGAAGCCCAGCTATATTCAAAGGCTGGGTTTTCTTTATGAAGGGAGACATACACTGGGATTCATCAAAATTTGGCATAGCATTTTGTCTGGAAATGAAACCCCTTTCTATAATGTTCCTTTCTTAACTCACGGCAAAAGTTTAAGAAGATACGTACATGCTCAGTGATGCATCAACTGTGTAGTCCACTAACAAAGCTGCTGTCACTAGTTGGAGATCTTCCTGATAGCTTATCCTGTACAAAATACAATAGTCAAAAGGCCTATCAGATTACTTTTAAAGTGATCCCAAAGAATATAAACTATTGTTGCATTGTGTCATCACTATAAATTATCTTAGAGGTTTAAGAAGAGCCCACACAGGTTTCCCAACAATTGGTACTGGTGTTGCTAGTTTTTGTACTACTTCGTAAAATATGAGAAATTAAAAAAATATTACTCGTGTGGTTCTAATATGAGCTTTATATATTAGAACAACCCAATATTACAGTAGGTGTGGTTCATAGTTACAGACTTACTTTTTGCCACCAAAGTCTATCTGACCCACACATACAGTTAAAACCTTATTTAGAGACCTGAGAAAATAGAATGAACTGCCCCACTTTCAACTACAGGTACTTTAAACTACAAGTACGAAATACAGGTAAACTACAATTTAATATACTTTTGTTGGTTTTGCTTACACCAAACAAAGTGTAATAGCAACAGCCTTTCTGAAAGAAGAAATACAGAACATTCCTCCTTCCTATGTTAATCTTCATAATATAGTTGTAATTTATTAATACTTTCCCCCACTTTTAATATAGCATACCAAAGTGGTGTGATATACTGTATTTGTGACTTTCTTCTCTTTGATATACTGATCCAAGAATAATTGGTTTCACTGGAGCGAGGGGTATGTATGCAGCGTGGGGGAGGGTGTGTGTGGGTGTAGGTATATGTAAACTGTTCTAGATAGCAATAGGAGAAGAACTATCTTAACACAAAATAGAAACCATTTTGTGAATTCATTATTGATAAGAGGACAAGACTCACGTGGAAGGTTGAACCTGGACAGTGATATTCTGGGTAGATAAAGTAATCCCACCAATTTCAAATGTGATAATCAGCTCTAACTGGAAGAGAAGTCAGATTGTGCAATATTTTGTTAAGGTTTGGATGACATATTTTAATCATGTTTGTAATCTGAGGTTCACTAGACTGCCACTGGCTGACTACACAAACATCTGTGGCAAGAATGATCTTTTATCAGCTGAACTGTCTGAAAGAGCAAGACCTGGCTTTGGTGACTCTTAACCTCAAGACTGGACTATGGACTTGTCGTTTCAAGACAAACATTAGACTGGATAAATAAATTCTTATTCAATACCAGTAAGTAAAGGTAAAGGTTCCCCTTGCCCATATGTGCGAGTCGTTCCCGACTCTAGGGGGTGGTGCTCATCTCTGTTTCCAAGCTGAAGAGCCAGCGAAGACATCTTGGTCATGCAGCCGGCATAAATGCTGAAGAGCCAGCGAAGACATCTTGGTCATGCAGCCGGCATAAATGCTGAAGGCACAGGGAACGCTGTTACCAGTATCAATACCGGTATCTATTGCTATTAATTCATGTTGAAGAAGAATTGGAGCTCTTTGTAAGAATTATCAAATAAAATGCACTATTACTGCAGTGAATTTGCAAATAAAGAGTCCGGTGTTTGATGCATAGCTGTTGATAAAGCTGAAAGTAGAAATTCTTCTTTCCATATTGACAATGTTCACTAGTTAAAAACTAGGATGTAAATCTAATCTAGTGAATAATCTTAATAATTTAAAAAGTACTGCAGTCGATGCTTATTAACTTTTGACAAATCTGAAAGGATAAGGTGATCCTGAGCAATTAGGAAAACACCCCATTGATGAGACCCACCCAACAAAAACTTAGTTTTTCCAAAGTGTCCAAATCAGAAACAATTTACCTGCTGATTCTTTTTGAAGGGATTGCCCAGTTCACATATCACAGTCTCTTTGACAGTGCAGAGCCCACTCTGAAAGGAATAAAAGACACACTTCATTGTCTTACTGCCTTCTGCCTTATTTTACTTGTGTGTAACTCAATACAGTATTGATAATTAAATATTATCAGGGATGCTACACATTCTTTCCATGAATGTTTTTCCTTCTTTTATATATTTATATATTTATGTTTGTTGTGTGTATACAGTATAAGCATATAAGTGTATGTATGTGTGAATACATATACACATACATACATATTGGAAGAATATTTAATGCCCCAATGCCTTCCCCATTTGCAATTCCACTAGAAATGAATTGGTTCTTAAGCAATTATGAAATAAAATAAGTTTTAAACATAATCCAGAGCCTACATATGGCAATCAGTATTTTGATGTAGCCCCAACATCCCCCAGATCCTTTCCTCAAATATTTTTCATCAGTTAGATAAACCAAACAACAACAAAAAGTGGGGGGTGGTGGTTTATGTACATAATAAAAAAGGCAAAATATGCAAAAAACATAAAGATAAAAATATACTAAAAAAAAATTTTTTTTTTTACCCCAACTGTTAATGGGTTACACTTCTACTTTGAATACATGCAGTTAATTTTTCCATGGTTGCATATTTTTAAATTTTGATCTCCCAATCCTGCATTGATGGCGAGATTTCTCTCTACCATTTTTTTTGCCACACCAAGTCTTGCCATGGTCAACATGTATTTTAGTAAATTGAAAAGATTTCATTTTTTTTCTGGGATTACACCTAATGAAAATATTTGGGTTTTACTTCAAAAATGTTGAATTTTTAATGTATTTTTTTTACAGTACTTCTGAGTTATTTTCTATAATTACCATATATTTGTTATGGCATTTCCAAAATTTATTTGATTTATCTATCCTGACACTAATTGACAGTTATCTATAATCTATCTATAAATATATAGACTATTTTATACTAATATTCCTTTAAACAGTAGCATGTTGTAAATTTCATTGATTTTCACACACTCCACAATTCTTCTCTTTGTTCCATTATTACTACTTCTTTGAAGTTCTGCATCCATTTTATCATGCAGTTTGTTTAGCTCTGCGTCATGTTTAAGTAACTATGTATAAACACATCTTAACTTATTATCTTATTATCTTGACTCTATATAAGAATTTGAAACTTTGTCATCTCTCTCAGGGTCTTGCTTCTTTAAGATCATTGTTTATTTTTCCTGTTTTTTTGCTATGATAGATTCCTTCTCTCATTAATCAATCCTTGTTCCTTTATTCCACATTTCTCAGTTAGGCTGCATAATACTGGCATATATGATCAGATCCTTGTTACTTTGTCTCTAGAATATCATCCAATATTGGGGGAAACTAGTTTTCCTCTCTTAAGTCTTGTACAACACTGAATCTTACTCTTGTTTTTAGATTCTTATTTCATTTTTGAGACTTATGATATGGCTTTATTGCATCTGTAGTGGAGCCCAATTTATTAATGGAAAGCCGATGTAGGCCTTAGCTCCAACAAAAATAGTGTATTCCTGGTTAAAGCTTTTGAATCTTGACATATGTCTGTTCACTTAGTTGATACAATTTAACCATGGCAATACTTTCAGGCTAGTCATTGGCTTCATCTGCAAAGTAACTGGAAATTATGAATCTTGAAGAATATTATTCTGATCTGTTAGAAATGCTTCCAAGTGATTAATAAAGAAAAACATCACTTAATGCAACAGTTGTAAATTTGTGTGAGAGAGTATAAAGGACCCCACAGTTAAAACCTGGGCTACATGTATTCTCTTCTATTGGAACTTGTAAATTTTTCTGAAAAGCCATTGAGTGCAGAGCTGCTTGGAACATTAACCTAATGCTATCCCAACTTTCAGAAAATACCCCACCGGCCGAATTGAAGACGGCACCAGGAAGGGTGAGAAAGTGATATTGAGGAGAGCCTCATGAGCATCCTCTCCATTGGTAGGTGACGTTGGCTTATTAGTGACTTTGATGGTCAAATTCAGTTTCTTGACTTCCGAGCTGTACTGTAACACCTGCACACCATCTCGTCTATAATGGAAAAGAATAATAAACAATTGAGGGAGAATGATTGAAAAAAGCATATATGCCCCTCCATTCTTTTCTTAATTTTGGTCAAAAGTGGCTAGGACAACAATGGAAAATTTGGTACTCCCCCAAAATTTAGGACTTTAATCTTCATAATTTTCAGGTAACATTGGGGTTCTTTGAAATCATCATCCAAAACTCCTAGAAGAGACCACATGGCTTATCTTGCTTAAGAGCAAGAAATGGCTACTCATCAACTTTGTGCTTTTGTCCCTAGATAAGAGATAATTTTTACTGAAATGCTTCCAAAACTGTGCAATGTTGTAACTGTCTGGTGATGAAACCCCACTTATCTAGGCCAGCCAATCAAAGGATTCTAGGGCAGGTCATCTATGTGATAACAGTAGCATGCACTGATCATGACTTTATGCAGTGATTTTCTAAAATTCAGCACGTACATCATCTAGGAGTTACTGTATTTATTGCCCTGGAAGAAAAATCTCAAGAAGGTAGTCTTTCTTTAGTGGTTATAATGTTGAGCATGATGCAGAAAACATACAGAACTAGACAGAATTCACCCTAAATTTATGATTATTTATTTATGACATGCTCTTTTTCCTCCTTATCTCATTCTTCCTTCAATAAGCCAAATTCTCTCACCTGGGCAGCTTTTGGTTCTTTTCATTTAGAAAGAGTGCCTGAATCTGCAAGTTGCTATTGCATTGGCTGTCAGCTCCACATTCCTTCTGAAACTGAATCTGAAAACAGACATTTTGAGTCAACAAAATGAGACAAAAAACAAGGGAAGGATGTTCATATAGTTTGTAGGCTACATTGTGTATATCAACTTTCTCTGGCTTGATGTTCTCCAGAAGCACTGGACCGCAATTCATGTCTCCTTCAAGAAGCATGGCCAGAGGAAGCTATTTTAAAAGATAAACTGGAATACATTAGCATGGGAAGCAAGACTTTTAGAAGGGTTCTGTATGTAAGGAGGATCAATCCTTCACTACAACTGAACCACAATTATTGTCTCTCTGCACATTTAAAGGTAAAGGTTCCCCTCGCACATATGTGCTAGTCGTTTCCAACTCCAGGGGGTGGTGCTCTTCTTAGTTTCAAAGCTGAAAAGCCAGTGTTGTCCAAAGACTTCTCCATGGTCATGTGGCTGGCATGACTAAACACCGAAGGCACACCCTGGATACCAGGGTAACTGCAATACCACCTACTGCCACCGGTAGCCTCCCACTGTCCAGTGCGATCCCACAGAGTTGGCCTCCTCAGGGTGCCATCGGCCAGACAGTGTCGGCTAGCGACCCCCAGGGGGAGAGCCTTCTCTGTGGGAGCACCTTCCCTCTGGAATGAGCTACCTCCGGAGCTTCACATAATCCCCAACCTCCAGTCCTTCCGACGTGCCCTAAAAAGTTGGCTTTTCCAGCAAGCTGGCCTGGCCTGAACAAAATAAAATAAATGATTGGTTTAATTGTTAATTTTAATCTAATTTTTAAAAAGTTATTGTTAATATTAATTGGGTTTGTTTTTGGATACTCTATCTAATTTCCTTTTTAACTTTTGTAATATGTGTTTTTTTTAATGTTGTACGCTGCCCTGAGTCCTTTGGGAGAAGAGCGGCATATAAATCCAACAAACAAACAAACAAACAAACAAGGCACACGGAACGCTGTTACTTTCCCACTAAATGGAAACAAAACACTCAACATGTACTATGTAACTGATGCTAACCAAAGCTTTCTTTTAAAAACTACTTTTGTAGAGGGTGTTTCCAAGGACAATACTGAATGTTTGAATTGTAAATCACTCAGAGTCATTGCTGAAATGGGTGGCTGTAGAAATCCATCAAACAAACAAAAATAAACAAATAAATAAATACAATGCACAGAAAAGGCAGTACTCTTTGTTCTTCCCAAGTGTGAACATCTAAAAATGCTTTCCCACTCACTCCCCAATTAGACTTTTGCAGAGCTTCTTTCAAAGAAAGCTTTTAAAAGCCTGTTTATTATGATATAAGGAAAAGAGAGTATGAGTCAGATAGGAAGGCCTCACAGACTGCTAAGTTAATGGGTATTGTTTATGATCTTTCCTCTCAATGAGTCTACTTCTTTATAGTCACTGTCTCCAACCTCCTTTTATGTGTATCCTTCTTGAACCAATCTATTCAGCTCTGGCTTCTCCAGGAGATGGCAGAAAATAGGAGCAACAGGCAAGCCTATGATTTTTATGGATTGCTGTAGTGGATTCCCACCAATGTCTAAAAATGCAACTCCCTAAATTTGATTGGATTAACCAAAAGAATTATATTAAGGTGACTAAGGGTAACCGACACTGAAATTATCACATTATATTTCTGCACAAACTCTAAACATAGCTTAGGTTCAATCTAGTTAACGTATGTGAAGACATTTTTCTAGAATGAAATTTATTCTAAAATTTAAAGATAACGACTAATCTGTTCCACCAGATGGTGCCAGAGGACTATTTGGTAGGTGAGCTGTTAAAGTGATACAGAAAACTGAACTGCGCCTATTTACAAATAATTTGCATCTATCTGCATGGATAAGTCAGGAACATGCACACAAACTCTTCCTACAAACACATCAGCTGTTTGCTTCTGGGCAAAAGCCTGCCACCCACCATTAGTTGCAACACTGCAATATTAGTGTGCAATCTACATGGCCATTTCAACTGAGGAGAGGAAAGGTGAAAAGAATAGGAGGAAAAACTAGAAAGAGAAGGCAGGACTACTAACCTCAGTGTAGTTTTCACGAGGCTGATCCTCATTCAAAACAGGAAATGCATTAAGGGAGCGTAATCCCAACTGGAATCTCCGGGGCTTTTCTGAAAGAGAGTACTTCATAGAGAACGCAATGGGATGGAGCTTGTCTCGTATGTCATCCTGCAGAATGAGCAATAATTTATTTCAGAGAGCCCTAAACTCAATTCTAAACTTCTGTGTAGTTTATGGAGGGACATGAGAGTTCTCCCCATTTCCCCCCCCCCCCAGGTCATATTGATTGATACAAACAACCTAATAAAATATTGCAGGCAAGATGGTATTTAGCTCAACAATTCCATTTTATGTCTTGAATTGACTATTCCTAACCTGTAGAACGACTCTCAGGTTTTGGCACTTGCTTGGCATGGAAAATTGTCCCTTGTAGATAGCAGAGTTGGTCTCAGCAAAATATACACGGGGTGGCCGGCGGTAACGGTCAGCTTCCACAATGTAATCCAGCTCTGAAGCCAAGGAAAAATGGATCAGGGACATAACCAAGGATCCTCAAATCATTCAGTAATCATTCAAAGTTATGATGGCACTGAAAAATGAAACTTATGACAATTCCTCGAAGTTGTAGCCATCACAGATTCTCTGCAGTCTCAGATGCTTGACAAGCAAAGTCAACAAGAAGCCAGCATGAAATCATAAGTCATGGTCATGTGACATCACAGTTATGGTGATTTGTTTAACAACTGCAAATGGAACTGATGTCGCAAGTTGGCAAAGTCATGGGACATTTCACTTAACGACACTGCTTAGGAATGGAGCTGCCGGTATCAATTATAGTTTGTAAGTGAGGACTATATTATAATCTCATACTTAATTCGAATCAAGGAATGCAACAAAAAACAAATACGTCACTGGTAGAGAAACTGGCTCTCCTACGTTAAGGATAAAAATTTCAGGCCCAGCAGACACCCTCCCTATCCTCTTCCTTCACACATGAATTCTCCTAAATGGAACAAATCTACTCACTGATGGTTTCCTTGTATTTGGGATCTCCAGCACTTTGAGAATAGGAGAAGCAGAGTTCTACCTTCATGCTGTAAATGAAAAGATAAGAACGGAAAGGAGAAAAAGAAAAACAAGGGATAGTAAAGCAGGGACAGATAACTGAGGTTCCTACCAATGAAACCCAAACCCAAAGTGCCTTGCCTTTATAGAGAAATACATAACCTTAAATTCAAAGTCACACGGCACCACACCTGAAGCTCCAGTCTTGGCACATCAAAACTATATCAACAGCACTTGACTTATATTAGGTAACGGTAAAGGTTCCCCTTGCACATACTATATGTGCAAGTCATTCCCGACTCTAGCAGGCGGGTGCTCATCTCCATTTCGAAGCCGAAGAGCCAGTGCTGTCCGAAGACGTCTCCGTGGTCATGTAGCCGGCATGACTAAACACCGAAGGCGCACGGAACACTGTTACCTTCCCACCAAAGGTGGGTCCTATTTTTCTACTTGCATTTTGCGTGTTTTCAAACTGCTAGGTTGGCAGAAGCTGGGACAAATAACAGGAGCTCACTCTGTTATGCGGTGGTAGGGATTTGAACACTGAACTGCTGACCTTCTGATCGACAAGCTCAGTGTCTTAGCCATTAAGCCACCGCATCTCTTTGACTTATATTAGGATGCCCTTTATCTGTTAATTAACCAGTGCCAAACATTCAGATGGATCGCCCTGCTTTGTTTGCAGCAAGGAATGATGTTTCAGAGGCCCCAAGTGTTCTTTGAAAAATCAATTCTTGCTAAGATAAGAGGAAAAATTTATTTTTTCATGCAAGAGGAAGATTCTCTCTCTCTCTCTCTCATCTGCTTTGAATCAGAAAATTGTCAAAGCTGTTACTCTGTCTGTTTTAGTCAAGGACAATTTCATCTTATTTAATTACAGAGTTGGCATTGTACAAAGGAGTTTTTCCAATTTGGTACCCAGGAGATATATAGAGAATCTGCGAGTCTCAGAATTCCTAGTCATCAGCCTCTGGACAGTAGCAGGCTAGGAATGGCTAATTTTAATTAATAATTATAATTAACTAAAGAGGGTAATGCTACATGCAAATAATGCTATGACAATCCACTTTAGAGAAGAGATGCCCCTTTTCTTCATGTTTTCACACCCTTAATATATTTTCATTTTGATTCAGTGTTACTTTATAGTTTCTTAGAAACTGACTTAAGAAAAGCTAAGAAATGTGTTCAGTGCACAATCACATCTGACAAGTCGGATATGATTTTATATATGCCATCTCTTCAATGATATTTTCTAGGAAAAAATGCTAACTAAAACAGAAAGGAAACAACATGAATTTAAAATTGGAAAAAATAGATGTTGACAAAATCAACATTAATAAACTCCATCACCCTTAAACTAGCCTTAGTTTAGAAGTTACAAACACTTCCAGATGTTGAAGGATGCCAACCCCAAACTAATAGCACGCTGAATAGAACTATTGGAGGGGGGAAACTAATCATATCTGGCAGGTTAAAATCCCTCCAGCTGACTTAAACCTGAAATAACTTGCATCTTATCAAATTGTCTATCTTCTAAGGGACAGGATGCCCTGTTCCAAAAACAAATCTACAAGTCTCTTACTCAACTTTTATTCTTTTTTAAAAAATCAAGCAGGGAAACGGACTCTGCAATGTCCCCATTCAGCTTGCTCCAATGTGGCCTTTTACTCTGATTGCCAGATGTTTTTCTCATTCAAACCTAACTTGAATCTCACCACATTTTGTATAAACACTCTTGTTTCTCCTCCCTGTTCTTGGTGGGGAGGGCAAACAATTGTTCTCCTAATTCTTTCCAACATCCTCTAAAATAAACTGAAAGTTGGCAATACGCTGCCCTTTCATCTTTTTTTCTGTAGGCTAAATATACCCAGTTGTGTCATATTTGTGTTGTCACACACCTTGAATATCCGTGTATTCAGGCATATAAAAATGAAAATAACATTTATAGGGTTGTTATTACCAAGAGCTTTGAGTACATTTGCTTGGGTCCAGAGGGCTTGGAGTAACAGTAAAAGTCTTGTTTAGGATATTGATCACTGGACGGGCTCTGCAGAAAGGGAAGCGCAACAAGCATTAAGGAAAAACCACAGTAAAATGAATCAATGCATTTTTAATGGAAGCGTTTAATAAACATAAAAACTAATACAAAGTAACCTAGAATAAAAAGTAAAGTTCAGAAGGTGCAGAAAAAAAGGAAAAAAGACAGTAATAAAGAAGTTGTTTCCAACTTTCACCATACCAAGCATAAGCTATTATAATAACTTTCTCTTTTAAAATTACAAATTTAAAAAAATCCCTTCTATATCCATGTTTAATGGCATTGCAGGATTTGATCTTTCATCAATCTTTCACTGATGACGTTCAAGAGGAGTTTTCATAGCTTTCACCACCAGCTAGTTTGGAAATCCCATAAAGAGGGATTTCCCATAAAGAGGCATTGTCCAGAATTTCTTGTGGTAGTTCTTCCATGTCAGATTTGTATTCCCATTTTGATGATGTCAATTTTGTTGTCTTCCTTGCCTTCACACTCTCTAACAGTGATGGTAAACCTTCTCAGCACTGAGTGTCCAAACCGGGATGTGGATGCATGTGTGCGCGCCAGAGCACCGGAAACCCGAACACCAGCTGGCCGGCATGCGCTTACCTGTTTTCGGGCTCTTTTCAGGCTGTTTTTCAGGCCATTTTCAGAGCCAAAACTAGCCCAAAAAACAGCCTGAAAATGACCTGAAAAATGGCCTGTTTCTTTGGCTGTTTTTCTGGCCACTTTCAGGCCATGTTCTGGTGCTTTGGTGCCCGCAAAGACCAGCTGGTGATGGTGCAGGTGCCCACAGAGAGGGCTCCTAAGTTCCACCTCTATCACGTGTGCCAAAAGTTCGCCATCACGGCTCTATAATATCTATGTCAGGTAAAACTTAAAAAAAAAAATCTCAACATTTTGTAAAAAAATTGTCCAATGAGATCCGTATACTTTTCAAATTTTAATTATTAATATCCTGGTGGTTATCAATCAAAAATCTCTTTAAGATAGGAAAAAGTTATAGTCATTTTATTTCTTTTATTTCTGCCTGCTTTTTTAGTTCCCTCGAGTATCATCTTTCATCAAGCCTCAGTTCTGATATGGGTTTGGTTCCATTTCAGTAAATTATTTAATTTTACAGTTTATTTGTTTTTCAAACCTGACGAGAAATAACCAATATTGCAAATCTCGCTGGTATTCCAATCTATTAAAAAGTTTTTAAATCAAAAGCCCCTGGTTTTTTAACTTTTTGCCATTTGTATATTACTTTAAATTCTCAAGTCTCTGTTTAAAATTTCTTAATTTCTGAGAAATTAAGAGGTATCAAATTAAATTCCAAATTTCAGAGAGATCCAGGAATCAAATTCAGCTTCTCTCTAATATCCATAAAATGCTTAAATCAAAAATTTATAAAATTGATTAAATGTGAGTTTGGCTAGCTTAGTGTCCCCTATTAAAGGATCCCCTGGAGCTGGAAGCAAAGATGTCATCTCCCTCAGCTTCTAGCACTCCAACCACAGAGACCATTGTTTTACAGTCCCCTAACGAGGAGCTGCCCTTCCGAACATTTATGGGTAATCTCTCCTTCTCCAGAGAGCTTTGAAGGACCAATCTAGGGATGCTCTCTAGGGCTTATCTAGCCCTAAATGAGCAGAAATGACACAATGGCTGTCATTTCTGCTCATTTGCGGAGACATCTTCAGTCAGCCATGATTCACAGCAGAAGCCCACAGAGACCCAATACAGATGTAGTGCATAAATAAAATAAATAATTCCTAATCACGACGGTGATTTCAATTACTCGGTGGTGAAGAAAATGTGCTGTTGCATGTGATCATTTGTTCACTTCCGCAGGACATGATTTATAAAAGTGTTCCTCTTTTCAATCAGGGTAATTGATAATATAGTATTCCTCAAAATGATGCTCCCTAGGTGAGAGGCACATTGACTTCCATATTCATCAATCCACCATGACCGTGAATAGCTGAGGGTTGGAAAGGCTGCCCTAATAGAGAGATTGGAATTTCCTTCTTCTTAAAATAGATTTTCATTTTTTAAGGCCAGTATATAGTGGAGTTTAATGTGCGGTTATAGGAACGGTGTAAAAGAGAAGGCTTTGATTATATTAGTCATGATATGTGCACCTGGGCTGATGAAAAACTATACAAAAGAGATGGTTTGCATCCATCAATGAAAGGAACTAACTTACTTGGCATTAAATGCACAGATTTTCTAGATAAACATTTAAACTAAACAGTGGAGACAGAAAATTAATTATGGTGGGAATCAAATAATTTAACAACTGGTTCTCTGCCCTAATGATTTCTTCCAACAGCCAGTTCACCAAACTGCTCAGAAAGTTAACAAGCGGTTCTCCCGAAGTGTTGCGAACTGGCTGAATCCCACCACTGGTTATCAGTGCATGTAAAGACGCATAAGAATATCAACTTTGCTGTGAAGCAAAAACAAGCATTCAATAGCAAGTGCCATACCATGTGCACTAATCAAGCAGGTAGTAAGGCAGCTGGGGACAACACAGGTTACGTAGAAAATAAACACAGGGTCAGTCAAAATGGAAATATCTCTACAAAAATAAGCACAACAATGATGAAAACTGCCTGGAATGGATTTAGGTCAATGTAAAAGGGAGAAAAAAATGACATTGCCATAGGTCTATACTACACTCCAAAAGGTAAACTCCGAAAGACAGACTTAAGATACAGAAGGATCTTGACAGACTTGAACATTGGGTGCTATCTAACAAAATGAAATTCAATGGTGAAAAGAGTAGGGTTCTACATTTAGGCAAGAAAAACAAAGTGCACAGGTACTGTATATGTGGTACCTTGGTCAATAGTTGTGAGGGATCTTGGAGTCCTAGTGGACAACCATTTAAATATGAGCCACAGTGTGCAGCAGCTGCCAAAAAAGCCAGCACAGTTCTAGACTGCATAAACAGAGGGATAGAATCAAGATCACATGAAGTGTTAATACCACTTTATAATGCCTTGGTAAGGCCACACTTGGAATACTGCATTCAGTTTTGGTCGCCACAATGTAAAAAAGATGTAGAGACTCCAGAAAGAGTGCAGAGAAGAGCAACAAAGATGATTAGGGAACTCAAGGATAAAACATATAAAGAAAGGTTGCTGGAACTGGATATGTTTAGTTTAATGAAAAGATGGACTAGGGGTGACATGGTAACAGTGTTCTGATATCTCAGGGGCTGCCACAAAGAAGAGGGAGTCAAGCTATTCTACAAAGCACCTCAGGATAGGACAAGAAGCAATGGGTAGAAACTAATCAAGGAGAGAAGCAACCTAGAACTGAGGAGAAATTCCCTGACAGTTAGAACAATTACTCAGTAGAACAACTTGCCTCCAGAAGTTGTAAATGCTCCAACACTGGAAGTTTTAAAGAAGGGATTAGATAACCATTTGTTTGAAGTAGTGTAGGGTTTCCTGCCTAAGCAGGGGGTTGGACTAGAAGACCTCCAAGATCCCTTCCAACTCTGTTATTCTGTTACAAATGAGAAGGAATAAATAGAGGGGGGGGGGAACCAAGATTGCTTTTAACCTCTTTTACCACATTTACCTGAGTAGCAAGATATTTTCTGAGAGAGTTCCCACCAGGAGATCAGGATAGGAATTTCCATCCACATCCATTCCGCCACTGAAGGAGTAACCAAAAGTCTTGACAACAGGATTAAAATCTTCCCCACTAATGATCTGCAAAGAGGTTCAGAAAATGAGAGGCAAGAAGGATATTTACAAATGAGACTAAAATCTCTGCTTGGTTTGTATATACTACCATCCATGATGGAACTGTTGGTGGCCAAGCATATATGAATGAACAGTAGGACTACTATTAACATCATTATGTTACACTGATCTGACTGGAGAGGAGTTCTGGGACTTTCAGTGTTGACATATTCACGTATGTAGTAAATCAATCAAAGATTACATCCTGTAACAATTACAAAATTGTCTTGAAGCTCACAAAGATAATAAGATGCAATATATACAGTATGTAAGAATATTTTATAAATTGGAATTTGTCTGAATTAACTGACTGAACAATATGGAGACATGCTGCACATAAACTTACAGGATATGCTTTACCCAAAGAGATAAGGATGATAAAGAGATGATGATAAAGGTGCTTTTACCTGCTGTGGCTTATTAGCAAGACCACCTACACCACTCTGGTAGATGTATACTTTCCCCGAACCTTCATAGGGTGCCCCAATGGCAATATCTGAAAGGGAAGAGTACAAAGAAGAAGGAGAACTTCCCTTTTATGAGATCTCACAGTTCTCATTATACTTCATCTAGATGGGTTTCTTTTTAGGTTTCCACTGGAATTGTATCCAATGTACTTTAACATAACTTTTCAAAACAAGTATTTGTATTACTTCCCATCACTAGTCAAAAATCTAACAAAGAATGCTTAGGTTTAGCTCTTATAATAGTTGAGCCACTATTCAAAGGAAAGTTTGAAGGAGTTATGCTGAGAAAGGGATTGCAGGTGGGCAGCATAAATATAGATGGACAATTAACTAAAACAAAATCAATGTGTATGTGTGTGCGTTTGTGTGTCTTGGTGTGTCTCTGTGTGTGCACACATGGCAGAACTATAACTATGAAAGGAATTTGTTTCTCTTTCTCTGATATCAGATGTGTAGTACAAATGGCCCTTATTTAAAGACTCTTCATTCAGTTTTTTCAGGTCCAAAGAACTACGGTAAGAATGTCATGTAAAGTTACTTGCCTACAGACAGACTCTTACCAGACTAAAGCAATTATCTGCATAACTATAGATATACTTAGTGAACTGCTAATGAAACTTGCCTACTTTCTGCCTACTAAACTTTCTAAGCTCTGTCTCTTTACTTTCTGGCAGTGAATCCTTCCTTCCTACCATTCCAGACTACATTCTATCACATTGTCCAAATTTGCAAATTGTGCTGAATGAGCGGAATTTACAACCAAACCTTGAAATTCCAATAGTTGTCTACTTTATTGTGGTTTGCCTATCTTCCCAGTCTGCTTGCCTTCCCTTGGAACAAACAGATACGGTTCCATGGATATTAGGGGAGATTAGATGTACTGTATTTTTTGGAGTAAAAGACGCACCTTTTTCCCTCAAAAAAGAGGCTGAAAATCTGGTTGCGTCTTATACACTGAATACAGCATGTTTTTGCCTCCCGAAACCCTGCCCCCTTCATCAAAATAGCTGTGCAGGGCATGGATAGCCTTTAGGGGACTTGCAGAGTGCTCTTGGGGGGTTGGCCCCCCAAACACAAGCAAAAAAGGGCATGGATAGCCTTTAGGGGACTTGCAGAGTGCTCTTGGGGGGTTGGCCCCCCAAACACAAGCAAAAAAGGGCATGGATAGCCATTAGGAAGCTTTTAGAGAGTTCCTGGGGGCTGGGGAGGGCAGAAATGAGCAAAAAACGGGCTGCTTCCTAAAGGCTGTCCATGCCCTTTTTTTGCTTGTTTTTGGGGTCCCACCCCCCAAGAGCACTCTGCAAGTCCCCTAAAGGCTATCCATGCCTTTTGGGGGGGGGAAACGGGGCCGTTTTCATGAAAAATGGGCTGTTTTGGGGAGGTTTGCAGGGTGCAAAAACTTTTTTTTGAATTTGTCTCTTAAAAACCTTGGTGCATCTTATATTCCGGTGCGTCTTATACTCTGAAAAATATGGTAGGTTTCCCATGGCTGAAGGACAATTCAAGGATAATTCCCTGTTTGATCCTTCCTCCTTACCTGACTGGCAGTTTCCCAACTCAAACACTGCTTTAGGCCATATAAAAGGGTACAGTCCAACAAGATGTGCCTCAGTAAATAGTAAAATATAACACTGTGACAAAAGCAAAAAAATCTAACCTTGAAAATCATCTTTGTTAATGTCGCCAATGTGAGCCACAGAGAAACCAAAGGAAGAACCACTGGGTCCAGTCAGTGTGAGGTTGGGATGGCTGGAGAAAGTTCCCCCAAGGTTCATGTATACATAGACAGCCCCACCTTTCTCCTCCTTCTGGTCAAAGTAGTGTGGTGCTCCAATGATTAAATCCTGCCACCTATTAATGGGGAAAGGTAGAGTCATTTTAACCTATATATCAAAATTAAGCCATTTAATACTTTTTCAAGTTAGCCCTCCCATGGACTCACCCATCACTGTTGAGGTCAGCCACGGCAATGGCGCTGCCAAAATAAGAACCCACTTGCTTGCCAACGAGAAGCAGTCTCTTCTGAAGGTCCTTGCGGCCATCACTTGACATCACAAAGACGGCTCCAGTGTGATTAAAACGAGGTGCCCCAATAATAAAAGAGAAGTCTTCTTTGTGCAGTACGTTGGTGCTTGCTTCTGTGGCGTATCCTATCAACATGAAATAAGAAACAGGTTGTGTCTTTGATCTCCCCTCTTCAAGAGAGAGAGATAGTTTGCCTCACTTTTATTTATTTGTGGATTTTGGGCAGCATGTTCAACTAGAGAAAACATAAAAACAGCTATAAACATAAGACCAGACAGACAGACCCAACTAAAATAATCTGATAAACAAAATGAAACAAAACATGGGCCTTAAACAATACCATAGGCATCAACCCCAGGCCTAGGCCAAAGCCAAAATTTCAAAACTTGTCAGAACCTTAGAAAGGGTACCATCCTTATCTCTTGGGGGACGCTGATTCAGAGCACTAGGGGCCACAACAGAGAAGGCACACAAGATAAACGTAAAGGTTCCCCTACACATATATGCTAGTTGTTTCCTCAGCATTTAATAAAGTAGAGTAGAGTAGAGTAGAATAGAATAGAATAGAATTATTTATTGGCCAAGTGTGATTGGACACACAAGGAATTTGTCTTTGGTGCATATACTCTCAGTGTACGTAAAAAAGGCAAGATACATTTGTCAAGAATCATAAGGTACAACACAATGATAGTCATAGGGTACAAATAAGCAATCAGGAAACAATATCAATGTAAATCATAAGGATACAAGCAAAAAAAGTTACAGTCCTGCAGTCGTAAGTGGGAGGAGATGGGTGATAGGGACGATGAGAAGACTAATAGTAATAGTAATGCAGCCTTAGTGAATAGTTTGATAGTGGGGAGGAGATTATTTGTTTAGCAGAGTGATGGCGTTTGGGGAAAAAACTGTCCTTGTGTCTAGTTGTCTTGACGTGTAGTGATCTATAGCATAATTTTGAGGGTAGGAGTTGAAACAATTTATGTCCAGGATGTGAGGGGTCTGGATTGGAGAAGAGATTTGGAGGAACACACTTGGTGCAAGATAGGCTCCAGCATAAATAAATGAACACAAATCAATCAATAAATTTACACACTGACTGGTCAGATATAGGTCATTCTATTTTCAAGGACATAGACTTAGGAATGAACAAGCTTCTTGAAAGTACTCATACCCTCTGCTTCTACCTATATGTGAAGTGGCATGCAAATTAAGCAATCTTCCATTAATTATAATTTCCCTTTTGGAATAAGGCATTGAAGAAAGCTGGAATTTGAAGATGACCTGTTAACTTGGGTTATTCCACAATTAAGCACTTGTTTTTAATTATAAAAAAGCATTAAATACATGTATAAATATAATCATGATTTCATTCTTGGTTGGGCCGTTCTGAAAGTATTAATCATAATTTTCTTGTTTGGCCAAGAACTATATTAATCTATTTATATCTTAAATCAACTGAACCTGATCATAATAATGTCCTGTGCATCAGTCTTTGATTCTGAAGCAAAGCCTGGTGACAACGAGACCATTTTAAAGGGGAAGACTCTCCATTTTAATCCTTCCTGACGTCTAATCTTCTAGACTGAGTGTGGAGCAGACCCAATGTTCAAAGTCCAGCTTCAAATGAGATGCCTTCATTAAGAAATCTCCATTTTCATCCTCGGAAAGGGAGCTCAGAAAGCTTTGACCCATATGAAATGTGCTTCTTCCCTGGGAGGCCTTTCTATTTAGGGAATCAGCCATGGAGGTTTGAAAACGAATCGCTGTTAAGCATGTCTGGCCCATCATATATTTAAATTATGCTATCTGTTTTCATCATGCTGAGAGACATTTGACTATGAAGATACTACATATGGTACTACAGATCACAAATTATTTCTATGATTTCTTTTTTTAGTCCGGTGTGTTCTTGTCAATTACATGTTCACATCTTGTGGGACCAAGGAAGCGTGCTTTCTCTGTCGTAGCTGCTGCTGTCTGGAACAATATCCCTTCCCCCTCTCCCACAGGATACACGCGGCTCTCATCTCCATCAAAACCAGATCGCAAGCCTGGGATTAGAGTCTCTGTGGAGCCATTGTCTATTTGAATTTTATTGCTGCTGTTTTGTCTGGGCAGTTATGTTGTTTCAGTTGTGTTTGCAGTGTTTTCTTTTCTGAAGCTTATGTATTGGATATAGAGTGTCTTTTTGGAGCCTGAACAAATCCAATAAATAAAGAAAATTAAAAAGAAATGAAGGAGAGGAGGGAGGCATTATACTGCACCAAATCATGTTTTCAGCCTGACAAAGTGCGAGTTGAGTGCAATTACCTAGGTAAATGTGTCTAGTTTTCCGATCTGGATAGGATAAATCTACTTGGTCCCAAATTCCCGGGTAGCTCACAAAAGCCGTTCCTGTGAAAACAAAAGTACAATGTTTAGCATTCTGATAAAATACAAATCAAAATCCAGTATACCTGTTAATGCTGTTTGAAAAGATCGTTTCCTTTCTTCCCAGGCTTTCACCTCCCGGTCACATTCAGCAATTAATTTTCAAAGTTGCTGGATGGCAAGTATGATTAAAAGCTTCTATCTCTGCTTTGTACAGAGTCATGAGGGGCTGAGAGATTTTAAGAGTTAAAAGAAAAGAGGAGTGATATCTTCCTCAAGGGTCCTCACTGTTCTGACCTAGGTTTCCTGATACAGTAAAAAGCATGCACTTAGTCCCCAAATCCCTCTTTTAATTTCAAAGGCTGTGAATTATGTTCATTCACAGCCCATAATTAGTCCCAAATGACTACGGTAGGCTGCTAAAGACTTTTGGGATAAGGCTGATAAGCACCCATCTTTATCTTCCTTGAAATGCTGCCAAAGACTTACTTGGCAATTAGCCAAGAATCAAAAAGGAGCTTCAGAAGATAAACTGACCAGTGTTGTCGGTTACTGTTACCTCAGACGCTTCCGTTTCTTCATACTGCCGATCTAACAACCAGCATGAACAAAGTTGCTTCCTGTGAAGGCTCACGTGCCTTTGCTCCTCCTTTATGTCCTATGGGAGGGGCCAATCATCTCCAAGTCTAACTCCCAAGTCGCCCCTTCTGTCTCAACTGTTCTTGCCTCTGGCAGCTCTGCACATATGCACACTGGGAATAGGGGGAGCCTCTTCCTCTGCCTTGCTGATCTACGAATCTGGAGGCTCCAGAGCCAGCACATAACTCCCAGATGGCCCTGCCCCCTCTCTGTCTCCGATGCAGAGCCCTCATCCGAGCCTTCCCCAGACTCCAGAACTGGCCCATGTTCCTTCCTAACCTCTTCTCTGTCCGACCCTGCTGCCAACTCCGCAGGCCATTGGCGGCCCACAATACTCACACACTCTTACATTGACACAAACACAAATGCTTAGGCAGATGTGCTTCAAACAATGGAGTATGCTTTCATGTTGTGTTGAACAATTATCACGTCCACATAGACACTTCCTGTATATGCAAGGAGAAAAATACTTCTTTCAATTTGTCCATTTTCAAGCACCAGAAAAGGCCTGAACAATTCAGTATTATTTTGAATTCATGCATTATTCTGAGATAGTGATAATCAAACTCTTGTCCCCCAACTGCTTTTTGTTGGAATACACAGAGAGAGTAAGGGTTGGGAGGTTTATGAAGGAGGAGGAGGAGGAGGAGGAAGGAAGAGGAGGTGCTTGGGGAAAAGGACAAAGGCTCTTCCACAAACAGAGAAGGAGGAAAAGAGAGAAGCAAAAAGTTTAAGTTGAAGAAAAGCTGCATGAAAGAACCAAAAACCAGTGGGAAATGGAAGAAGCAGGTATTTCAGGGGATCTGGGAAAAGGCTAAGATTCAGAAGCACAAATCAGATAGAAGGGAAAAAAAGCTCAGGTGATATGAAAGGGAACAAACTGAAAAAAAAAAGGGAAATGGGATGAAGGAAGCAGAAAGCTGAGATCAAGGAAGAAAGGGATTACGAGGAGAGCCAAAGAGGGGTGATTATCTGGGCTATGTTTGTACAATATGGATGTCAGAATAAAAATCTTCTGCACTTAATCGGCTTCCATAGGTTGGCAGTTGATGTTCAATCATTTTGTAAGTGGGTAAAGGAGACAATCTTCTTTTGCCTTTTCCAATTTTTTAGTCAAAAAAAGGTGGGGGGATTCAAAGCAATACTGTCAAAATGTAGCCACTAAGGGTCAGAATGGCTTTATCTCAGCCTCCACATTTTTCTGCCTCTTTTTCTCCCTCGACCAACTGGCGGTGAGGAAGAAAAAGGAAAAGAATGTGAAAAATTACATTTGAAAGCAGTCCTTACTTGCAGAGCTGTTCTAGCAGTTTATTTTAAAATAGGTGAAAAATCAACATTTCAGTGAGTGCTTATTCAGAAGATAGTTAACTATGCTTAGTTCCTTCCAGTGGTAAAATTCTTCTTTTTTTTTTTTTTACTACCGGTACTGTGGGCGTGGCTTGGTGGGGGTGGCAGGGGAAGAATACTGCAAAATCTCCATTCCCTTCCCACTCCTGGGGTATGGATATTGCAAGATCTCCACTCCCACCCCCCGTTGGGGCCAGCCAGAGGTGGTATTTGTCGGTTCTCTAAACTACTCAAAATTTCCACTACCGGTTCTCCAGAACCTGTCAGAACCTGTTGAATTTCATCCCTGGTTCCTTCCTTTTTTCCAAGAAAATATATTTAATTTTAAGAATCATTCATTTATAGCAGGCATGTCCAAAGTCCATCCTGGGGGTCAATTACGGCCCATTTTCAAATTTCATGCGGCCCGCAGCCTCTTCTCCCCGCCAGTGTTATTTGTTTAGTCTTTCATAAAATAGTTCATTTGCATTTAATGTTCATGATTCAAACTTTCAGTTTCAGTTTTATTGAGTTTGTATGCCGCCCTATTCCCGAGAGACTCAGGGCGGCTCACAATAAAAAGGGAGGGGATACAAAAAATAAAATAAAAAACAACAATTTAAAATTCTACAACAGCCGTAACCTCGAATGGGGCTGGATAGCTCAACAGCCCAGGCCTGACGGAACAGCCAGGTCTTAACCACTTTGCGGAAGGCCGGAAGGGTAGTAAGGGTCCGGATCTCCACAGGGAGATCGTTCCAGAGGGCCAGAGCAGCCACAGAGAAGGCCCTCCCCTGAGGAGTCGCCAGCTGACATTGGCCGGCAGATGGAATTCGGAGGAGGCCTAGTCTGTGGGATCTAATAGGTCTTTGGGAGGTAACTGGCAGGAGGCGGTTTCTCAAGTACCCAGGTCCGATACCATGTAAGGCTTTAAAAGTAACAGCTAGCACCTTGAAGCGTGTCTGGAGACCAATGGGCAGCCAGTGCAGCTCGCGGAGGATAGGTGTAACGTGGGTGTACCGAGAATGTCAAGCTGAATGGTCAGCCCCACACATTTTCACTTCACCAAATATGGCCCTCCTTGCAAAAAGTTTGGTCACCCCTGATTTATAGCAACAACAGCAACAATATTTGGTTGATTAGCTCATATCAGAATTTATTCCAACTAAATTATGCCCTAAAACTATTTCAGACAGACATGTATGAAAGGCATAAAACAAAATATGGAAAGGCAATTAGAGCCACAAACCTTGCCAATGATAAGCTCCCGGAGCTCCAAAATAGACAAAGTTGTCTGTGAAGCCACCACTGATGCCCATTTGGCACATGCCAGTATTCTCCAAGTCTGAGTTGGCAGCACACATCTCATTATAAGTTTGCCATGAATCATTCACCTGATGACTCAAGTCATTGCTATGGATATAGCATGTTCCTACCATGCGCCTCTGATGTTCACTGCCAAAAATCCGAGTGTATCGGTGAGCACAAGCCTTGAAAAATAAAATTAAACAAGATTTTAGTCTGAAGTGAAAGAGACTAAGGATTTCCAGGCACTGTGAAAGAGACTCTGTATGGTTTACACATTCACTATACCACACAGAGTTTAAAAATCACAGTGCTTGGATTTTTGCAGTATCCTAAATCTAAATCAAAAGAACCATAACGTATCATGGCTTAGTGGGGGTTGGAAATCCTCATTCATATGGGATGGAGTTGAATCTAGATCATAATCAAACTTGAGATAACCATAAGATTATCAATTAAGCTTTTCGATTGGAATAAATGACACAAAGAGATTATGCACTGTCACTACAAATAAATGTTAGTTTTGTGTAACACTGTTCAAACTGTGATTTGAAAGTCCTAGAAATCTTTGTACACAAACAACTTAGCTATATCCACTAAATACCCTGTTTCCCTGAAAATAAGACCTCCCCAGATAATAAGCCCAATTGGGCTATTGAGTGCATGCGCTAAAATAAGCCCCCCCCCAAAATAAGCCCTTCCCGAAAATATTGCAACACACCAGCAACCATGAGATGACCACGCTCGCTGCCTCCTGTACCTCAAAAATAATAAGACCTCCCTGAAAATAAGGCCAATTGCTTATTTTTGGGGGGGGGTCAAAAAAAAAAAAGACCCTATCTTATTTTCAGGGAAACAGGGTAGTACCAGGGAAGAAAAGAAAAAGAAGAGAAGAACAATTATGCAAGTTTCTTGAGAAAGCTCAACTCCCTACAAAGGAATTCTGCAGATGACATCTTCTGTTGCGTGGGAGACAACTGGGCCAAGTGGTATCTGCAACTTGTTCTCCAAGACCATCATGCTTTCCCTGCCCAGATATGTTTCTTGAATTTCAGCTAATTCCTCCTGAAAATGTTTTTGAAAGATTTAAATGTGTTGATGTAGCAGTGGATCAAAACAGCCAAGGGCTATTATTGCCTAGAAGTGGAGATGGATTACATGTGGGAGGAAAGGAAAAGATAAGCCAAGAACCGTGTGCCTGTCTGAAGAATATTTTTAATAATGACGGGCGCTTCTGTGATACTGTAAGAGGAGACAAAGCAGGTAGTCCTCTTGACACCTTATCCCTAAGTTGATAGGACAAGCTTGTGTTCTAACTCAATGAGCACCACATCATGGACCTACTGTAGGTAGAAGTGTTCTTATTTTCATCTATTCAACTTTGCAGATTAAAGGTATTTGTTATTGGTCTTGAGGTACTGTCATAAAAAAAATCACAGGTCAAGGTCAGATAACATGCTAGTGTATTACTAATATTAGATTACTCTTTTGTATTTTCTTGAAAGGCCTCAGATTATCTAACTCAGATAGCTGCCTTAGGCCTAGAAAGGATTCTTCTAACTGGCACTTACCCTAAAAGTTCTCAGTTTTGTTCCCTGAACCTTATCAAGCTCTCTTTATCCCAGGATTAAATATTCCATGTTGTGGAGGCTGCGACTAAGAAGGTAAACTTCAGGGATCCTATTTTCACTATGTTATGATAGGAACCTTTAGGAGACATTCTTGGGATGAAAGCACAGGACAGGCTGGTTCTAATTGAAAAAGACTATTCTGCAAATACATGGGTTAAAAATTAAAGCCAGAACTTTGAGTTGGCCCTGGAAGACTATTGGTAGCCAAAGCAGCAACCTCAACATAGCTGCCACATTGCTGAACCTATCTTCTCCTGTCAGCAATTTGCCTGCTGTATTTTGAACCAACTGCAACTTCCAAGTCAACTTCAAGGGTAGTCTCATATATATAGGGCAGGTAGAAGGGGATCTAAGCACAGGGAAACAAAGTTCTTTGTTCACAAAGGAAACCTTTGGTTAGATCCAGCAAGCGTCTGTTAAAATTCATAGGTTTTCCCCATCAGAATTTTGAAGTAGTTATGGAGGAAATGGTGTGGCATTACAGCAGCGACATGGGATAAACAACAAGAAAGCATAGGAAAACTGGACAGGATATAACATTTTCGGTCCACTTTCCCCACCAGTGATTCTCCCTGATTCACATTATTAGCTCAGCAGATGACTTTAAGGCAGAGGGCAGGATTCAAAAACAGCAGACATCGTCTCCTCTCACATATATTATACTCACCATTACTCGCCCATAAGCTTTACGTTGGCTTGCTACCACCACCCCCAGCCACATGTCTTCAACAATATTATTTTGTGGATCACCTAAAAGTGCAGGGAGCCAAAACAAAAACAAAACCCCCAAAAGATAAATATGATTAGAAAAGGATCCACCTTCTTGTCATATTTCCTTTTTTATGGCAATTTTATTAAACATCAGAATTCCAACAATAAAAACTAATACAAACTAAAAGCATAAAAGAATAGAAAGAAAAATAGATTCAAATAAGAAAAACAGAGAAGTAAAAAAGAAAAAATAATATGAGAGAAATGAAAAGAAATATATAAAGAATTGACTTCCATCACAAGTATAAACAATTTTAATAACTTATCAAAGGTCACTTTGGTTTGCATATTTCCTTTTCTAATCACTTTTGAAAATTGTTAGCAGCTTTTCAGCTAATAGCAACTGGTTTTGCATCTACAGGTTTTATAGCACCAGATGGGTTTCCTTCAACTCTTACTTAAAAAACTTTTAAATACAAGTTTAAGTACTTAAAAACATTTTTTAACAAACAGCAAAAGGGTGATTAAAAGGTTCATATTTAGATAATTTAAAAGACTGATTTTAGAAAGCTACATATAGACTAAATTTGAAATAAATGTGGGAATTATAAAAAAAATCATTTCCATAGGAAAAAAATCTTTGTTTTAAATAAAAAAAACTATAAGACTAAAAATTGGACACTAGAGGGAACTAAAAGTAAAGATTACAATTAAAGAAGAACACTTGAATTCAATTTACAAATACAAAATGAAGCAAAATATTTTAACATTTTGAAGGATACTTTTGAACTATAGACCTGAAGTTAATTTTAAGATTTTCTGCCACTATAAATAGATTGTGCTTATGTTAACAAAGAGAAACATGTTTTAACTGACAAGACTGAGACTTATTTGAAAGTGGACTTTAAAATGACAGGCTATAAGAATGAAACGGGAAAAGATATTACACCATATATAGAAAGTAAATTCACTGATGTTTTAATAATTAAAAAGGATGTACAAATAACAAACCAAGAGATTGATCTGGATAATTTTCCTTTATCAGATTTACAAAAGAGGCTTGTAAAGCTTTGAAGAATTTGGTGGAAAAAGTCAAAGAAAAATGAAAGGAAATCAAGTGCTAGGACATTATTTGAAGGAACTAAAATCAAGATTGGTAGAAGTAAAAGGAAGCTTGATAAAGTTAGATTATTTGATCGAGGCTAAAATAGGCATGTTGTTATACTTATAACTCTTAGTGGAGTTAACTTACTTGGACTGAATTGACTGAATTGACAAGGCTTTAAAGATTTGTTTATAGATAAGAAATAGGATATGGGAATAAGATCATTTCTTGTATTTTAAAAGATGGTGATAAGCCATCCTCCTGTCAAATCCCAAATCAGTCCTTTAGAATTAATTTTCTTCAGTCTATCTTCTACTAAGGGAAGTCCAACTTCATAAGTACAAAAAACATACATGCTGGAAACAAAATCGAAAGTAGAATGAATTTGAAGTCAATCATGCTACCAGTACTATGGATTGATGTTGGTCTTAAAAGTGCCACAAGGCTTTTTGTTACTTAGTGTAACAAAATAAAGCAAGCCTATCCTTCCTAAAGATATTTCATATTCTAATCAGCCTGCATTGTTTTCTATAGATCATTGCACTCTATTCAGGTAAGTTCTCCATTTGCACATTTACATACTTTTCACCTGAAAGTCCACCTGTGTACAATCACTGGGAATTGCAGTCAAAGGACAAGCATACATAGCACCTGTCTTTGTTTTATTATCCATCTTGATAGCCACATCACGGGGAGCTCCAGCAAGAATCCTAGAGAGGGCAGAAATATTATTTTGGATTACAAGAAATAGAAGACAGATTCTTCATCACAGTGTGAAAGCAACAAATCTTTGTATACTTTATATTCCTTGTTCCTATTCTGGTACCCTCAGTGATTTGATAGAGCTAGTAATTCTCAGAATAAAAATTCCTGAGTATAGATGGTGATCATGAGAAAATTACAAAAGTAATTTCCCAGATAAGTGTTTACAGGGCTTTATAATGAGGAAGTATATATTAGGAGAAAACAATGTTGACATATATATTTTTTCAGTGGTTAAGAACTACTTGTTCTCTGGAACAAGAGAAGAGTACTTTCTGGAAAGTGCAAATTTGCAAAATGTTATTCTTGTGTCACTAAGGAAGCCCAACTAGTTTAAACATGCCTAGTATTTATTGGGGGGATCCTATTTTTTTAAAATGTGACTTCCAGGTGAGGATGAACATTTTGGGAAATTAAACATCACTTAGTGTCCAAAACATCTTTTCTACTTGCCCTGCTTATATCCTGATAGTTCTTCCTCTCTGCATTTGTTTCAAAAAACATATTTAATCCTTCCTGGTCTTAAATAAAGCTCCAACTGGCTCACATTTAAAATAAAAAAAAATCCTAATGTATAATTAAAATGCACCATCTCCAAAACAATCTATACCACTCAAGATCTTAATAGCTATTATGAGATAGGATAAGCCAAAGTGAGCTAGACTAGATTATAAGGAGTGTTTGTGAAGTCACTATATTTTATTACTGTATTTTATTACTTTTGAAAGCTCACTGGAGCTCACCCAAACTGATTTCTTCACAAAGTGCTCACCTCTATTCTGCTTTATTTCTGATTATAGAGTGTGAAGCCACTGATAATGACTTAGTTTTCAATAAAAACCAGCTAATCTCCTGTATCCACCATCATGATTGTAGTCTATAACAAACCAAGGGTAGACATGACCTATACTAAGCATATTATGAAAACCCTTGGCTAACCACACATAATATTGGGCACTGATATCTGAGTTTCAAAAACATAAATTTTCCTATTTTAGCACTTAATCTGATATCATACTTGATTAGACATACCCCAAATCAGCCTAGAACATTTTCTATAAATTATGCCCTTCCAACTTCAAATCTAAAATCTTAACTGGCACCCCAGCTGTAAAATTCCAAAGATTATAATATCAACACATTTGATGGGCTGCCAGCACATAAAGGTTTGTTTCTGTATGTAGCTTCTTCTATATTAACAAAATATGACTTTCATCTAAGTACAAAAGTAGCTGGAATGCATGTTCCCTTGCATTCCAGAAAACACAGCTGTATTTTTTCAACACTGTGGGCAAAGTTTCTATATTATGTTAGACAGAAACAAGTAAAAATATGCCAAAACATCTAACCATGGCAGATGACATAGTGTAAAATAAAACATCAAGAGCAAAAGTCATGAAAATGTGTGTGTCTATTCAAGAAAGGAAGGGATGGAGTGAAAGGGAGCATGATAGAAAAACACGAGGAGAATGTAATTATTAAAACCGCCCAATCCAAAACAAAGAGATTTTCAAGTCAAACTCCTGAAAGTCAAAAATCTCTAAATTCTCCAAAGCTTTACAAGAGCAAAATAAGAAAACCCATGAATAAGCAATGATTATTAAAAGACTTGGAGAAACCCAGAGTTTTGTAGCAGGTAGATGCGTGCATGTTCATCTTATATGTGCGTGTATGTTTATGTATTTTTCAATCAAATGTGTACTACCTGATTCTCAAAGACTCTTCTTATTCTAAACTCATTATTGTGTTTCTTGGTTTAATTGTGATCTGCACATATAACAATGATTGTAAAACAATAATACGTTCCAAACAGACGCATCTTGTTCATAACCCGCATGATATGGCAGTTTATGATAAGAAGAAAGATTGGTTCATTGATGTTGCTATTCTAGATATTCTATGAATGAGGAAAAACAATGGAAAAATGGTCAAATACAGGACTTACAGATTCAATACTTTTGTTAAAAGAAATCCATTATTATACCAACTGTGAATGGAGACCTTGGAATGAATCCTTGATATCTGGAAATACTGAATTTATCAGATCCGAATACCCAAGTTGCTTCGGACTGCCTTAGATGCTACCTTAATAAATGTTAGGATTTTGGTCAGGGCTTGAATGATTATGTTTCCCTCAATCTTAAACTGTGAATCTAACTGTAGATTACCTTCACAGCACTGTAATAATCAATGGATGGACAAAAATGCCAAATGAGTCAAAACATCTGGCTGACCATGCAACCAACCATAATGACAACTTACATCTTGTGACATACCTTTAATACCTTCAAATAACCAACATCTGCCTATTCAGATCTTTGGAAAGGACTCAATAAGTGAATTAAAATGCAGATCCAATCTAAAACAGCTGACTAGGCAACCAATCATAGCATTATATTTAAAACTGAATATTTATTTAACTGATTTTATTTTTATCCCACCTTTATTTTCTATAAATAACTCCTAGTCTCTTCATGTCTAGGCCAACACCTTAACCACCATATCAAAGGATAAATAAATAAAATATGGTGAAAAGGATAACTTCAATAAGGACAAAGTAAAGCTTGTTCATTCTCTCTTATCAAAGACCTGTGCAAAAAAACAACAACAACAGCGGAGTAGAGGCCACCCAGATCTCAGAGGAACTTCATTCCAGAACGCAGATGTTGCGACAGAGAAGGTAAGCTTCTGCGCTCCTAATAAATAACAACGTTTAATCATTAGGAAATCAAAAGTACCCCAGACTGCATTGGCAGGGGAAGATGTTTTGGGAGATAGCGGCTCCTCAAATAACCTGGCCCTATACCAAGTAGAATCTTATAAGTAACAACTTGAATATTGAATTGTATGTGGAAGCAAACTGCAACCAATATCTGATGCAGAGGTGTTATGTGGTCATACTACATGGCATACCGAGTGTGGGGCACATTTCTGAAAAGGGAATCACCCCGTTTGAGCCAAGTAGGTGTCTGTAAATCACACCAGGGTGGCAGCCTCATCCAAGATAAGACTGTGGATAAGGACAGAATAGTTACACATAGTTTTGGCATTCAAAAGCAGCAGCTGAGCAGAGAATCACTGAGAATCCAATAGCTAGCTACTGAGGTTTGTATCTATCTATATTTACATAAGCCTATCTATCTCTATAACTGCCTATATCAATATCTGGCAAACAATTACAGTATCACTCACAGAATACTACTCTTATTTCAGCCCTAACAATATCCCAGTCTTTTATATGCTGCAGTCTTAAACTAATGGACTTCTTTACAGTACATATTCCAGCTAGAAATGAAGATGGTTTATACAACTGGATTACAATCTATCCTTCACGTGTCGCCACACATGATGGCATAATCATGCTTCCCAAACTCCATAAACTGACAAGCCTCTTTGCTTCTTTACCTATACCAGGTAAGCAAGGACCATTCATTTTCTTGGAGGCCATGCGGTTTACAAAGATAACCTTTGTACAGGTAGTCCTCCACTTATAATCACAATTGAGCCTGGAACAATGGTTAATTGACATTGGTCATTAAATGGTGAGATTACCTCATTTAATAATCACAATCTTGGCTATGCAGTTGTAAAACAACAGTATGAGCCTTTAAGAAGCGCACAGGGTATATCAGGCCTGCATTGCAGCACCTCTCAGCTCACACTTGGTCTGCACTGGGCCTACCAGAGCTTCCCTCAATCTCTGAGGCATCTTTTGTAAAACTTCCTACTTTGGGGAAATAGGGTCAAGTTCGGCATCCTTCCAGTTTGCCTTTTTGCTGTTGCCTATTTGCTGTTGGAATAGGAGCTGGCTCTTTCTGCCAGTGATAGTGAGGTTTTGTCACCTCTTCAAGCTCCACCTTTTCCTGGAGTCAAGCATTGCGGAAGTTGAGCCTATTGGCTCTGGCAGTCCTGCCACTCAGCGGGAGAGATACGGACAGCTGATTGGTTACCCGTCTGACAGCCAATGTATAAAAAGCTGTCAGACGGGCTCCTGAGGTGTTCTTGTTGTTGCAGTTCTGTGTTAATAAACCGTTCTCATTCTAAGCAATCACATCGTGGTTATTGTCTCTGCAAAAGATTTAACACTGGTGACGAGGATTGTGGGATCTCATTTAATAGCAATAGCGGTGCTTAATGTCTTCGCTGAATTCTGCCCTGAGAAGGAATATTGGGAAGTGTTTCTCGAACGCTTCAAATGTTACCTGCAAACTAATGATTTTGCAGATCTACCCGATGACAGGAAAAGGGGTGTTTTTCTTAGTTCCTGTGGGTAAGAGATGTTCGCCACAGCTCGTGCGTTGGCAGCCCCAACCCCTATTTACGATATTCAATGGGATATCCTGTTAGCCCAACTTAAGGGTCATTACGCCCTGGCACCATCCCGTTTCACCTGCAGATACGCCTTTAGGCAATGCATCCAATGTGAAGGCGAACCAATTAATCATTATATTGCCTCTCTGAGGGCATCAGCCATCCACTGCGAGTTTGCAGACTTGGACAATTCTTTACTTGAACAATTTATCTGTGGAGTCCGCGATATACATCTCCAGCACAGGCTTCTGTCCAGATCTGAACTCACCCTGAAACTAGTCATAGACGAAGCCCGCGTCTCCGAAATGACTGACCACAGACATTCAGAAGTACCAGCTACACAATGCTTCTTTCCCTGAACCTTCCTCTGTCCACCAAAAACAAAGAGGAAGAGTTTGAACCTGAGGGGGCTGAAGATATCAGCCACCTCAAGAGCGCCAATAGGATAAGTAACCCCAAAGGCACTGGATGGAAAGGCTGTCTGAGTTGTGGTGGCAGTCACCTTAGATCTCAATGTAAATTCAAAACTGTTACATGCTGGAGGTGTGGAAATAAGGGGCACCTGGCAAACGTTTGCCGGGCCCTTTTACCCTCAACTTCTCCTGGTGAAGTAACTTTTGGCAACCACCACCAAGAT